TAGCTGTACGTAATACTGCTATTGTGAATGCCTTGATGACATAATTCAGGAAGAGAAATATTTTTACTGTACTTAAGAAAATATGGAATTTAATAAAGGAAAAATGCGACGTAAACTATACAGAAATCAATTGCAATAGTAAATTGTCAATTCATATTATATATTTTATATCTTTACTATCTTGTATATAAATATGTATATTACATTTCATTATTTCAATACAACTCGGAAAAATTACATTAAAAAATCTCCTTATTTTTATTAAACGTGCTTTAGTATATATTAATAACAAATATATTTAAAACAAATAGATTCTGAACATCGAAGATGAGGAAACAATGAATTGTAAGGTCAATCGATAGAAACTAAACTAACTAACTCGCGTTTGCAATTTCTAAACTACAATACGTCCACGAAATAGTTGTTTCCAACTAGCACTCTTGTAAAGATCAGTTACTGGAATATAGGGAGCTGGTAGTAACTTGGAAACAAAGGAATGCAGAACTGCAGCACAATACGAATGCTCGCGTGAACCAAACACGTTCCCATTCAATTTCCAACCTACGTCATATTCTAGTTTCGCACACCGTAGATCTTTCTATTTGATCTCGAAACCCATATTGCTACAAGCCACTACACTGCCGTTTCGTATTTCCCTTATTCCTTGTAAAAAATTTAGCAATTTTTATTTTATGGATAGCTGAAAATAATATAGCCTAATGAAAACCTGATGCAAGTAATAATATTACACATAAATATCTATATGATAATAAATAAACGTGATTACATGGGAGTGTATGCAATATAATTTAAGATTTGGCTAATGAATATTTTTAAACTGAAGGAAAGCGAAGGATCTAACGTCTTTAGCTTGATAGTTGAAACTGAAGATATCAAACGAGCGGAAATAAGATCATAATGGTTCTCCGCAGTTAAGACAGTATTATACAGAGCGTTATCAGGGTGTAACAAGGATAAGCTGTTGAAAGCTGTATGTTGCTACCAATCGTTGTGTACATTGATCCCCTTTTCTTTGGTTCACGCTTCGCGAAGCGTCTCGCGCGGGTCTCAAAAGATTTTTGTCTGCGACACTTCCGCCGAAGGAGTTTACTCAAGCCGCGAATCTTTTATGGAATCGTCGAACGTTTTTCTCGCGTGCACTTCATGACTCTTAACTACTCAGCACTAAATAGATCATCGAGGATTTTAACCGCAACCGATTTCATCGAAACAAGATTCGACACTGCAGTAAACATCTTCAGTTCTTTCAACCGTGGGTAGCACGATGTTTGGAGGAGACCGGAGGTGGGTCAAGCTTGTAGGTTCGCCGATTTCTCGTGTGTACGGAACCTACGATACATCATTTTCGGCTGGGATGATCTCACGGTAGATTTACCATTTGTACAGTTTATGGGCGTCGGTCTGGGCCATAAACTTGGTTGGCAATGACGGGAACGCCGTCGACCAACTTGGGAAAGCTTCGGCCAGAAACCCTGGATATCGTGGACAGTCGGTGGAACGAGACACACGATTTCAGAGAACGAGGGGAAATCCTCGTGTAGACAGAGGAGTCTTTATCGGTGGTGGAAGTAGTTGGGGATCTTGCGGAGGCAATAATCGTGTCCCTCAGGTTACGCCACCGAAGAAAGCGCCATAGATCCATTGCTACTTTCTAAATTAACCATTGTTACTTGAGCTAGGTACTCCATTTTTTATTCATTTATAAGTTACATAAGTTTATAACTATTTTTGCTTATTTACAAGTATAATGCAATAACCCTGCAAAATTTACTACATTTTAGCGTGTGCGTTTAGTCGCAAGCTACGATGTCTCGAACAACAGCGATTACAAAGCTTATTAGCGAACGTCGGAAGAGGGAGTCGCAAGTTATCGTTATTGCGTGCGGATAAACAATGCATCGAAAGCGCAATTATCGGAATGCGCTCATTTCCTCGGAGGAGCAACACCAGTAGCAGTGAGCGCGTAACGACGCGTGTAAATTCGATCCGGTGTGGTGCGGCACGTCGCGAGCTTAATGCGAATCGGATCACCATCGATTCGTCGAGAAACGCAGTAAATCCTTTTTGCGCCGGTGCGTCATTTATCGGTTCCAACATTCGTTTCCAACGAGTAAATAATGAATGCCAAACGTTGTTAGAATTCGCCGATCCACTCGGACCACTTTTTTTTCCCATTCAGGATCTCGTTACAATATAGCTCGATGGTTGTATCATGCTTGTGTATCGTTTTTTAAGGTACGACACGCGACGGAGAAAATTTAGAAATTCTTTTTATCATTCTTTATTTATCTCCGTCATATTTTGATATTAATTTTGCGTGATAAGTTTTAGGATTAACGAATTATGTTCTAATAAAAACCGTAAAATCAGCTATAGTATATATGTAAAAACATAATTGTACAAAGTAAAGAACAATACATTTAAAATACCATTATCTCAATCAGAAAGCAATTGGATTATAATATATACAAATGTACTTTTTTATAATTAAAACTTGTTAATCATATTCAATCACTCGCTTACTCTCCTTATCTTTTTCTATTACCTTCTACTCATACAGTCAACCTAATTCCACGTTTATTCTCTAGCCTCCCTCTCACCCCGTAACCCTTTGCCGATCTTCCTTGTCTTAAATCTTCTTTGCGTCGATGTTCACAAATTACTCTCTCGTCCTTTCCCCTTAACCCAGTTTCCTTTTCTTTCCCCGTTCCCTGTCGCAGTGTCCTTTTGCCCTGTCTTCTCCCTTCCTCCGGTTCGTCCAATTTCACCTCTCCCGTCCTGCTCACCTCCCTTAGCCAACTCCGGGCTGTCCCCGTCGTGCTCGCATTTCGCGTGGAGAAAGCCGAATGGAAATTAAATGCGCAGTCGGCCGTTACGCCGATTGATTTGTATTCTCTGATCCACGGCTGACGGGGAAGTGTGCTAAACTGCTGGATTTATGTTCTCTCCTAATTGTATCGAGCCCCACCCTGTCGCCACCCTTCGTTGTGCGCAGCCCTTACGAGATTGCTTTCGCGTTTCGAAGGTTTGCTCGGAAACAATCGTGGCCAGGTTCATCAACAGGAAAAATAGTGCCATTAAATGGCGAAAATGAGCTAAACCTGCTAAACGAATAAACCGACTCCTGGATCCTCCCATGTTTCTTACTGCACCAATTATTTTGATAAATCTGATCTACTTGCGTGTTCTATATTGGAAATGATCTGACAACGAATATAATAATTGTCCTGCCCACGCGTAATTTTGAAACGGATGTATTTAGCGACGATCGGGGAATATTTTTAGTCATACACGAGTATTTTTAGGGCTTCCATAGCGCGTAGAAAGTTATCCATCCGTGTTACGCGTTGCGTTAAGGTTCGCCGCGTCGAACTCCGTGAAACAAACTTCGCAGAAGGGTAGGCGAAACTTTTCTTTTCGCGTCTATTAATAATGAAGAAGCACCGAGAAAGATTGCTTTATCTGCACCCTCGTTCTTTGTAAAAATTATTTGGCCGTGTTATTTATGTATACGTATACATCGCACGAGTTGGTTATAGAATTATGATAGAATCATTTGTATGGGCCTACGAAGTCATTCTCAATTCATGGCTTGATTCGCGATTGGAAGGTTGAGTGGAATGTTTAATTATCTAGACTGACTCGATTACCGTATGCTCGATGACTTTCACCACTGCCTTGCTGGTGATAATCGTTAAGTGTAATACTGTAATGTAATAACGGGGAAAAAATCAGACAGTCGTCTGAATCAATCTCCGGAAAGACATAATTCATCCTCGGCCTATTAATAATAATGTACTTAGTCGTGTCATCATTATTATTTGGAGGTAACTCTTATTTCTGTAATATATGTTAAATATATGATATGTGCAGAGTATTAGGTTCGATATATTATCTATCATTCTATTTACAAAACGACGATTTGTATGTAGCCTTCACTCATTGTATTTTGGCCACATATACACATTCGTGCAGTTGGATAGAATTTTTAAATTGTAACAAATCTATAAATGAAATATTACATTACTGATAGAAAGCTCAAGATGCGGTTTGTGCTACCATCTACCAGGATTTGTGTTACATTGTTACTTCAACCCCTATTTAAGGGGCTAAAGTAGTCACGAGATTTTTCTAACACGCGTCGGTAAAATGCCTGTGTAATAAAAGCGCGGCCCGAAAAAAGGGCACAGGAGGGCTCGAACCGGCAACGTAGGTTTATGAAAACAAACAGAATGACTGCTTCGGCGTATACCCACGTTCAAATTCACCGATGCTTTTTTTTCCAGCACGATAGGTAATAGGTGTCTCAACATCTGACCATTTGTTAAAAATGTCGTTACCAGTAAACTCATTGCTTTTACCACTGAGGAGAGATTACTAGTAATCTCTCCTCGGTGCTTTTACATCTGCATTTTACTGCATTCTACCCCAAATATCGTTGTTTGGACTAGACCGACGACAATTTTGCTTGGTGCTTTTTACTTCTCGGTCCAGTATATCCTAAAGGGCGCCAAAAATTTTTTGGTCTGCAAGGTCCCATAAGGCTGCCACTCTTTAGTAATCTCTCCTTGGTGATAAAAATCATGATTACAAGACGGATTTTTAGCAACTCGAAAAAAAAATTTATATCATCTATCATTTGTGTAATCGCCTAGATTACCGGCGTATGACCGCGGGAATACTCTAGACAACTTTGAAGTTAGAGAATCAACAAGATAAAGAATCTGCTATTTTCAATTGTTTTTGATGGTTTTCGTTTGTTTGGAGTAAGAAATAGATAACAAGACCATGGACCTGAAGGACGGTACATAGTCGAGGGGTAGGGCTCCCAAAAGCGAAAGAGGAAAACAGCTCTGTTTGAGCCATGGACCTAAAATCCACGATTTGAGCCTTCGACCATATATTTTTTTACGTTTTCATAACTTTATGAGCTTAATATTGTGTTTACACACACGAGTTTGACAATTATCGTAGCGTAAACATGCGATCAGCTGATGGTCCAAAATGATTCTTTATTTTTATTTCTGTTAAGTAACACTGAAGAGCCAAAACTTTTCGGTGAACTTAAGCAAATCACTTTAGTAAGTAATACGAAAAAGTTTGAATCAATTTAAATATTTGTTAAAAGATTAATATAGAAAAAACCGTGAATCTGTTTATAGCATATGCGTTGTCGTCGTACGATGAGCCACCATATGCACCGCCATCTTGGTGACGTCACGTCCGCAGTCATATTGCGAATAGGTTATGCTTCCAATTACAAAATGACTGAGTCCGACGAAATATCAAATAAACCAATACTTTATGAACTATTGGAATATTTTATTCGAAAGCAAGAACCGGAATTAATAGTAAGTTCATGTCATGTGCATGTGTAAATAAAAAACAAGCAGAATATAATCTATGATTACCCATATTTCATTACATTCATGAAGTAATATACCTTACAGAAATGCAAAAATGATGTCGTAATTTTACCTACAACTGGCACAATAAAAAATGCACTCAGGTATCTTAATAACAGGTATTCTTTACCGGAAAGTATATCACAACAAATCAGTCTCACGTTACCATGGAAATTGGCAATCGGAGATTCTGGACGTGTACTTTCTCTTTTGCAAGAAAATGTGATAGAAATTAGGAAGGCAAAAGATGAATATTCTTCAATCGTTGGAAAAGCTTCTGGTAGGTATACTTTTAAGATATGACATAAAAGTTCATGGAAAATATAAAAGATTCATTTTCTTACACACTAATTTTTTCAGTACCAAAGGATGCTTTTCCACAATGGAGAAAATTGGCTTGGAGTCCAGATGGAACACTGTTAGTATTAGCATCAAGCAATGGCTATACTTCTTTTTACAATGGATTGGGAAATAATGTTTTTAATATTAGTCCTAAGACTGTGTCCCAAAACCCCCATATTTTGGAAGCTGGTGATGCAATTGCGTCTATGATCTTCCTTAAACCAAAAACAAAAACAGAGAAATGGTCTTATGAATTTTTGTTAATCACATACAGTGGTTTAGTCAGATCATATTATGTGTCAGCTGTTAATGGGTTTGAAGCCAACTATGAATTTTCTTTTGGCACCTTTTACAAGAATGGTGTAAATTCTGTTGTTTATGACGAAAAACATGATTTGTTTTATGTTGCTGGGAATACGTTCACCCAAAAAGTAATGTCATCAGCCTCAGATAGCGGACTGACATCATGGAGACCACTAAATGAATATCCGTACTGCAAATTGTCTTTCACTTTCGACGATGATTCGAAAAACAAGCCAGTATTTTCCATATGGAATATTATTCCAACACTAACTTCGATACCGGAATCAATCATATTCAAAATGAAAATTTCACCAAACAGTTGTTATTTAACATGTTTACATACGGATGGCTCCATATCTTTATGGAGATTGCCAAATTTATTGATACAAAGGAAATGGAAATTATCAGAACAACCAGATTTTAATATACCCAATCCTTTGGGACATGCAAAGTCAAAAAAATATCCACCAGGCATTACTGAATTTCATCCAGTAGATATTGGCTGGTGGTCTGAAGAGGTATAATATATATTTTTTCTATTAAAACACGTATTGAATCTATGAATTCTAATCTACTATTATTTTCTTAAAGGCAATTATAATTGCAAGATGTTCAGGACCTACTTCCGTATGTTCTATAAAAAATCTGAAGAATCTTTTAGGTACATGCCCTGAATTTTTAGCTGAACAACTACAAATATGTGAACTCGGTTCAAACCGAGGTTTGTTGTGTTTGGATTGTGAAACATATGTAACAAGTAAAAAACGAAATAGGGAAACCAATGCAGAAAATCAAACATTAGGTTTGTTGTTAGACTTTTAATTAGTTTGAATATACATTTCCTTCTGTGTTCGATGATTTTCATGTGTTGAATAACTATTATATAATTTGATATTTAAGAGGCCTCGTCGGAGAGTGAGGAGGAAACTGATGAATTGGAAGCAACCAATATATTAAATTATACAACACATTTAGTTCAAAGTACTTTATACTCTATTACAGACATCGAAAGATTTCAACCAAAAAGAAAGAAATCTAAGGTATTGTTTAGAACGTACAGAATCCTGGGACTGAAAAGTACGACACCTGAAGAACTTTATTCTCGTAAAATTGATATAGAGGTATGATTACTTACGAAATTTATTATTGTACCTTGAATTGAATTGAACTGATCAGAGAACTGTATTATAGGAATATGAAGAAGCATTGGCTTTAGCCAATACGTATAATTTAGATACTGATCTAGTGTATCAAACGCAATGGCGCAAGTCGGAATTATCTTTAAATGCTATTCAAGAACATTTGAGTAAAGTCACCAAAAGATCATGGGTTCTATGTGAGTGTATTACGCGGGTTCCAGATACTATAGAAGCAGCAAGAGAACTGTTAAATTTTGGTTTAAAAGGTGCTAATGTAGCAACTTTAGTAGCAATTGCAACCCATGACAATGGAAAGTTTGTAATAGATAACGCCGACGAAGATTGGGGTGAATTGGATGAAGCCAGTATTAGTTTACGGCAAATACAGAAAATGAATCAGACACTTGAAAAAATCGACATAAAAAATTTATCCGAAGCTCAAATGGACTTGATTAGATACAGAAGAAAACTATTAGATCACTTGGATAAATTACTTACATATGAAATTATTTTAAACTCCTCGTCAACGTACGATAAAAAATTTTATGAAGAATTCCGGCAGCTTTCGTCTATCGAAAATGCAATTAGATTTGCAAAGGATGGAGATTGTCGGGCAGTCGAAATTATGTTCACGTATCACGGCAAAAGTCTTTTACCTCATTGGCTAGCAATCATTAGCTTCTTTCCAGAAACATTAAATCCATTAAAATACAAGAAACTTCTACCGGAGTGTGATATTGATGGACAATTGTTTCTGCTCGATCAATGTGAATTACGTCAGATGGACTGGGCTGAGAAAGCGGATTTTAATGAGATAATTAATTGGGAAAGCGATGACAAGTCGCAATTAATTTATGAATACAACCCATCACTATCTACATACAGAAACACATTGCTTACACCAGAATTATTAAAAACATGGTACGAATCAAGAGCTTATGAAATTGAAAGAAATAGTTGTATGATCGATAACGCTCTGCAATTAATAAAGATTGCTAAAGCTCACAATATTAACGGTTTAGAAAAATTATTATTGGATTTAGAGACGTCCGATGATCTCATTTACAAAGTTTATTTAGAAGATTTATCATTAGATCAGTTACAAAAATTATCTGATTTGGAAAAAGTTAAACTGTTAATGAGTAAGACTACCGAGAAGAGTTTTGTTGAAGATATAAAAAATTTTTTATTGCCATTTATAAAGAGACGACATGCATACATGGGCGGTGAATTAGAGAAACATTTGTTCAGTGATTATTTAGTATCCATTAGTAAAGATAATTTAAAATTATCGGTCAAGCTTTTTGAGTATTTGAAAAAAACTCGCGATGGAGAGATTTTTCAAATGATAGATGATATTGCCACTTTGGCGTTAGACTGTATATACGCTTGCAATGATCCTGACATGTACGAAAAAGCCATGAGTATTATGGATTCAATCGCTAAAGATCGTGATGGGCGTAGAAAAAGTGCCGTGTGCTCTCTACTCGAAGAGCTTGATAGAGAACTTGACTGTACAAGAATTTTGGATAAATACGGCGTTAAGACAACGTTGCATGAATTGCGAAAGAATAAAAGTAGCCCTGAAACTGTGGAGCAGCTATTGATCCAAATGGCAAGAAATTTAAACAAAATGTAAGCAACCATATTTTTCATATTTCCTATTTTAAAATCAATTGTGCTTCGGATTCGATAATATGTTTTGTACATTTGTTTAAAGAACTCCATCCCCAGATGAGAAACAATGGGCTCAGTTATTAAACGAAATGTTAGAAATTCATGCTCTGTTTTTCAACTGTGTTGATATAAATGTAGAAATATGTTTCGAGATCTGTGTGTCAGCGCGTTTGGTCTCGGGTGTTAAATCCAACATACAGAATTGCGCCGCTTTAATCGAAACATCGAAGAACGAACAGTCTTTGTTGAAAGTATCCTACAATAAAGCAGTAAATTTAATTTTAGATGCCAGCAAAGAGTATTTTAATAGCTCGAAATCGCTAACCGATTCTAATATGGAATTAGCTAAGTAAGTATTTTCGTCTCCCTTTTACAATTCGGTGATTTTAATTTTCATAAATGATATTATTTCAGAGCTTGTCTTAACCTAATTGTAGATGATAATGCCCAAATTAAAGAAGAATATGACCTCATTAACTCACTTCAAATTTTGAATGAATTCAACATCGATATTTTACCGCTTCAAGTGCGATTAATGCAAGATCGATTAAAATTGATACAGGACTGTTTAAATAAACGAGAAGATGCCCATAAAAGCCGGCATAGATTATTAACGTTGGCGAGTTACTTACGAATAGAAAAAAATAATAAGAGAACGCGAGAAGGAAAGGTCTTAGAATTAATTGCAAAAAAAGCGCTTGAGGTAAAGGACTTAAACTTGCTGTTTAAATGCTTCGATTTAAATGAATATATTTGATTTATAATATAATTTTATAGGTAAAAGACTTTAATGTCTGTGCTGCTACGTGTCAGCAATTAATGCAAAATAACTATATTCCTGCATGGGCCGTCGCTTTAGAATTAGGTTTTTGTGAAGATTACGACGATCTACAGATTAGACAAAAATGTTTATGGTTCGCAATAAATAATGGACCTAGCGATGTGTTGAACAAAGCCTTGGATCAGATACATCTAATAGAAATACAGATCTTAAATAAAAATTTAGAATTATGGATACCACCCGATTCATTATTCGACGACTTGAATGATGGTGATAGCGAAGACGAATTTACTGATGCATTAACTACTGTAAGAAATATACAGAAAGTATATTGTCAACAACCTAAGTAGTCCATTTTGATAATAAAATGTTTTTATCTCACAGCCACAAGTAGAAACTAAGGAATTCGTGCCAAAAGTACTAGAGGCTTCTACTGAAATAGTAAAAACTTCAGCGAACGTCGTGGAATCGACGTTCGGTTTAATAAGAAATATGGGTGACAGAAATTTTTGGAAATCTAAACTGAAATATAATTTTTCGAATAATCAAGATAACGAGCCTGGACACGATGGTAAAGAACATTGTACAGAAGATTACGATGTTCAAAGTTTCCCATGTTTTTACGAAGACTTACATAAAAATTGTAGAATTAGTAATCTTGATACAACGTACACAGCGTACTCTCAACCAGATTTGGAGAACACACAGCTCAAATGCTGTCGTGCTTTTTTAAGAATAACAATGTTAAGTGAGTCGTCTTGTTACGGATTAGAAGTGAGTGATATAAATCATTGTAAGTATTATGCGTCACTTTAAACGCAAAGCAGTAAAATTTATCCATCCGATAATTAATAATTTTTCTTTCAATTCAGTATTTCTAGAGTGTGTAAAATACACTATACAACAAGACTGGTTACTAGGCATGGCATACTTGTTTAATGTTAAAAAACAATGCCTAGAAGAAGTGCAAAGTCTCCTAACAGAATTACCAGATACAGAATTATACATTCAAACTGCGATGTACTATTATGCTTTAAAAATATATAGGAGTTTAAATTTAGATTTTGAAAACTTGTTTTTGTTCGATCCCTCAAGTCTAATAAGGGAATCGATGTCTATAGCACATAAGTGCAAAGAATCTAACATCTATGAAGCATTTAAGTATTGGCAAATGCGTTTATTCGAAAAATATGGAATAAAGAAGACAGATTCTTTTCAGTCAAATGAAGAGACCATAGATTACAGTTCAGAAAACTATAAAAAAGATGAATTTGCTTCAGCATCCATTCATGAATCAGATGTAACTATTGAAAATGAAGATTCGCAACATGGCAGAAAGAGTAATTTGTCCGAATCTAATGATAAAAATGACCTAGAATGGACGGATGACTGGGGAAATTTTTCAGATGAAGAAATAATAGATAATGTCGAAAGCAAAAGAAATATTTTAGACGAAGAATTGTATACGGAATACAAAATTTCTGTTCTAAAAGATATTGGTGAATGTGCAACAGAAAAAGATCGTTTCGAAGTTTTTGAAAAAGTGTTCAACAAAATACAAAATATTGATCATTTTTATGAAGTAAAGAAACTGGTGTTACACTGGCCAATATTTGAAGATTCTGAATATACGGGAATCGACAAACATCCAGTCTTAAGAATGATGAAAATAGTTCATGTTCATGTTAAGGAAGGATTTTTACAAGAATATAAAGAACTAATAGGAGCACTGCCTTCAACAAATGTAAGTACACAAGTAGAAATTATAACGATCAATGTAATATTAATCGTTTAAACGATTTGTAACAGATACTCAAGGAATTTTTGGACACGAGAGAAATTCCACTTGAACATATAATTTATATTCAACTGGATTTGGATAATTTAGAATTCCATCAAGAGGCTGTGAACATTCTAAAAGAAAAATATAAAGTATGTATGAATAAATATTTTAACATTAAATTTTTATTCTACATTTGAAATAACTATATCCTTATGTTTCAGGAATTGATTTTACCATCACCAATCCTGGAAATGTTGTTTTTGAAAAATTTAACAGCATTTTTCGATCCAAATCACGAAGTATATAATCGAATCATTGAGCACGTTTTTATAAATCGGTCTCTTACGAATATAAGAGAGAACGCAGAAATTCTTGTACACGAACTGAAGAAAAGAAAACATATTTCTCATGCATTGTGCATAATTAGATTGATGGAAGATATACCACCATCGTTATGTACATTTGATACGTGTTACGAACTGCTTATGAGAAAATAATTGATATACTAACTAGAGAAGAATTCAAATATAGGAGAGGTTGCGATTTAATATGTTGCATAAAATAATTCTTTTTATCAAAACTTGAAGAATGGGATATTGGTATGAAGCTTTTAAACTTGGTCCTATGTAAAAACACATTTTAAACTACATGTACATATTAATAATTGTTACGGTGTATTATTTGTTATATATATATATATATGTTACGTTTAATCTTATTTACTTCAAAATCAAAGATGTACAAAAAGAATGATAGATTATTTAATTAATGTTATTAAGTAATGAAGTTATTAATATAGTAGTATATATTATATAATAATATACATAGTATTAGTAGAACACGGATAGACATGAAAATGAATTACTACGATCGTAATAAACAAAATCAGGACAAACTAATTTCTTTATTGGCTTCATAACTACCTTTGATATCTTTCGATAACAAACTGCAGCTACGGGATTAAATCAACTTCATTTAACCCTCATACGCAAAGTCCAAACTGCAGACAAAGTTCGGACTATTTATTATCTTGACACTCATGCATTTCGAACCAATTGTTTCTCATGCAGTGACTCGACGATCTTCGATATTAAGTCGCTCGACGTTCTTTAGTAATTGAAGAACTTTTATCGCAATGAAAAACTAAGGCATACAGAATAATCTCTGTAATTGTTAGTGTTAGGTAATCAAAATATGCGAACGTTGGTGGACGCAAACCTTTGCAACTTGCAACCTACCGTTTATTCCGTCAAATGCTTAATTGAAACTCCACGTGCGGGCACCCAACGTTTCATATCCAAACATACTGTAGGTTGTCGAAGACATTCTCGCGACTAAATTAATTGTCATAAAAGACATCCTGTTTAGCTGTGAATCTTTGACCAAACATCTTTTTAAAAAATCCACGCGTTGTTTTTCTTTTAATCTTCTTTCCTTTAATTATATTCTGACATTAATGTTTAGTAAATTGCGAACTATTTTATTAAATTTCTTTTTTAATAAAAACGTAACAAAATATTAAAAATCATAATTCACATATCGGCCAGAAAACTTGCAAATAAGACCAACTCGTCAAAGGCCCATTAGCTCAGTTGGTTAGAGCGTCGTGCTAATAACGCGAAGGTCGCGGGTTCGATCCCCTCATGGGCCATGTTTTTTTTTCATTTTGCGATACATAATACACTTATTTTGAGAGACTAATGTATGTAGTATACATACGTATGTAGTATATAATATAATACGCTTATGTAACATATAATACACTTATGTAATGTATATATGTTAGTAAAACTTCAAGATGAGACCAATTATGAATTTCTAAGTTTCTTCCGAGACACATCCTTGTTTTCCTCACTTTGTGACCGGATCCTCTTGGAAAATAAGTTATTCGTTAGACAATGCTTTGGATTCCTAATGATCTTGTAAATTTCTCGCTTTTCCAAACAATCAATCTTTCGATAGCCGATGGCTGTGCAACCTCGAATTATCAATCATTATCTGTTTTCTTTCTAAATTCTCTTGCACATCAACCAAATACCTGCCATAATATACCTAAAGACTGAAGTAAGGGATTCATTACCTGCTCATTGCCAGTTTAAGAACAGTACTGGCGCTACGCGCTTACAGGGTGCTTTTGAAATATTGCGCTTGCTAATTTTCAACGATTTCAAGAACCCACTTGGCTCGGAAGGCGGTCTCATTCATGTAATCTTACATGAGGCTGTACTGTAGTTTCAGTATCGGTGATTTATTTTCAGAGGTATAAGTGCTTAATATGGGGCATTTGAGATTACTGACCACATACATGAAACCGCTGAAGCGAACGGATTCTCCTCTATTAAAACTCGATAACTTTGCGTATCATAAGAATCATCGTATAATATTTATTATCGTCTTTAGTCTATTTTGTGATGTAGATTGTAAAGGTACTTCGTATTACACGTGTTGGATGACTAAAATGTTTTTCTCCTAGTTATCTCTAGTTTAAGAAGCGTATTTTAAAGATTAGTCACTAAGGTCGAAATCCACCCTGAGTCACAGGGTTAGAAGTGACCCTCCCCTTCCTATAGCTAGGATATATATATACATCCGCCGAATCCTAAGACAGCAGATTCAGCCTGGACTCGATACTAACCGCATTTGTACTGAATTCCTCTACGTTGTGCAGTATTTTGGAAATATAGTGTTACACTCAACCGAGCCTAGTTTCCTTACGAATCCTGAACACAACACACGCATCAACTTTTTAATTTCCAGTTATTGAAATGAAATTTTAATGACTGTTTAACGCGTGTTAGTCATTTCGAATCATTCGATATTTTACAGAAAGCAGAAATAAACTGTGTGCATTAATCTTCATAGCAATTATTACGAACTTTCTTCAAAGAATCATAGCAGGATTTCCATATTCGTTAGATAAATATGACGTTCTTTTTTCATGAACAAATTGAAGTCCAATCTTGCAACTTGCAAGATGCTAATTGATCTGACCACTCTTTTAGAAAGTACGTTTTATACTGAGCTATGTTTCTAGTGAAATTATCGGATTACTGATTAATCCATTTGGAGGTCATCTTAGTAGTTAAACTTTACACTTAGTAGTTAAAGAATAATTGTTACCGATCACTATGGATATATTCCATAAGGCGAACGTTTATGTCTATTATGTAATTACTAATAGCACGATAAGATAATCGTAATCTCTAGATGTTCGTGTTCGTACTTATCGAAAGGTGCTTGGGAAGGACAAAAATATTCATTAAAACTTATCAAATGTTTATTTTACTATGAGAGCACTCAACCAAATTCTTTAAGCAGAATTATTTTGATATCTATACTACATATTTTACTAAACATTATTTTATGAGTAAGTTTATTATTTAAGCTGTCTAATGTAACAAAAACCAGGCAAGGATGGGAAGGTCATAGATCTCGCAATAAGACATAATTTCAATCCAATGGAATTTTCAACGACTTAAATATGATTATGCAAGGTATAGTATATCGTCTTAACAATGAATTCCCTCGGCAACAAAACGTATCGATCACGTTTCAAACGATAACCTATTTTCGAAGAAGTTCCATTATTTCCTTTTACCGTATGACAATTAGATCGAATAATGTTCAACTGCCGTTAATCGATGTAAATAGTTATGATATTTGCGTAAAAATAAGTTTCCACAATGAGCCATGGAAATTTCCAATAGTTGAGGGCTGTGCGGTCCGGCCCTCACTGCGCAACACCTTTTCATTGAAGGGTGCTGCGCCTGCCCAAATGTCCCAAATATGCAGCTAAGGGTACGTCCGTACTACCACTTTCCTGGATGATATCGATCCGATCGCAAGCGAGCTTCCTGTGGCCAAAGTTGACGTCACAGACTGGCGTTGATAGGCAGAATTCAACTGCGAACGGTTCTCATTGGTTGGCGAGCCGGTATAAACGGCGCTTTCACGGTAAACCTGTTCCAGTTGTGTTGTTATTCACCCACTGTACACTTGGTAAGTACTCGTCTAGATCGTCTTCCATTGTTTCCCCGATTATTTACATTCCATTTTCTCAGGTCATTAATACATTTTAAATTCGAACCGACGTACTTGTATTCAGCGTTATTGATACATTCTTCTGTAAAATATTATTTTCAAACAAGTTCTACATTTTATTTCTATAATTCTAAAATCAAGCCGATATGATCGTCTTACATTCTACAGAATTTTATAGATAATATTCAAATTTTTCGTCACGGTTAAAACATCATAAAAATAATGACATAGTACGTGTATCGAAATATTTTATTGTAATAATGGATATGATGTCCAAGTGGTTGGTTTTCAGACCATTAAGGACGTTTCGCTATGCTGATAGCAAACCACAATCGCGACTATAAAACACCGTACAATAGTTTACATAATGAAACGGTTTCCGTCCAATAACTAAATGTTTGTCATCGTATGAAACATTTCTAGTTATCTAATTAAGCACAGATGAGATTGGAAAGAATAAAAATTTCAATATATTGCTCAAACGGAGCTACAAGAACTACGGTTACTATTACTGCAATGCATATGCGCGAATACTTGACGTGCTAGATCGATTTCAACTCCAACGCGTGACCTGATATAAATTATATATACTCCCACGAAAATTTGACTAAAGAGTTCTATATAAATAACTAGTGAAAAGTAAAACTGTACGATCACATGTGATGGAAATCACAAGAGTATAAAACAGAATTTTCAGATTGTTATTTACTTTCATTTATTAAATGCTGGTGTTAGTTTTTGTAGCAATAATTTGCATGTAGTATCGTGATTTTCATTATCTGACTATGGATGGGGTACAGTATTGCGTCCGCGTCGAGGATAATCAATATGCCTGTATTATATGTATATATTCAGCAGCTGTATCCTTGTACACAAGGATATCACAGGTTTTTGCTCTTTCGAAACTCGTCAGCAGATTGTTAGAAAGGAGATTTATTATTTACTTTCTGATCTCACAACAACTCTCATAAGTTCGTAAGTAGAGTAGGAAGGAAAAGTAATTTAAATATAAATGTTTAAGAGATGTTCTATTATCGATCAAATGTAATTTGCAAGTAATTTAAACACATTGCATATCTGATTTGAGATACGGATAAAAATTGTGGGTGCAGCAATAGGTGCAAGCGCATGGTCGGAGGTTCGCTATCGATCGCATTGTTTGCATGCGCCTTCCATGGTCCTTCTGCACAACGAATGTCGTCGACATTACGTATTCTCAATGAAGAAATTGTCGTCGGTAGTGTAGAGGGAATTAAAGTTCGCAACAGAAATCAGTGGCCGAAGGTTACAGCAAGCGGTTCTCAATGTTTATAATTTGAAGTTATTCAAAATTTCAAGAAATTGATCTTGATGACGAACGGATGATTTTCCGTAGAACTCAAATAGAATCCATTTCTGATATAAATTTAAATTAATTTTTCTTGATTATTAAAATCGACTAGTCAACTTCAGTGTGTGAAGTTGAAATTTTTTACATTGATGAAAAACAATGCAAAATTGGATTGCTTGGCGAAATTTAGGAATACAATACGGGTTTCTACTAAAATGGTATTCAAAAGTTCCATCAATAAATAATAGAGGCATGAACATTCTGTACATTACCGCAGCAGCCTTGTTACAAGCAAAAATCACGAGAACAACGACTGAGTTTCACGCCATTCTCGGTTCAAGCATTTCTCTTTAACCGAAATAACTTGTCAGTCGCAATAACGCGTGACAAATATAACTGGGTTTCAACATTGCGAGACACGTGGGAGCAAAGTCAAACTCGTTGTCGAAATAGCAAAAAATGACGATAAAATGACTCAGAAAAAATTTGATAAATGACGCCCACAATTTTACTGTAATAATTCAGGAATTTGATACTCTTGAACGAATTAAAATCAGTTAACGTATTTAAATACATATTAAAGCCTGAGTCTTGTCATTGGCAGCTCTCCAGTACCTACCTATACCGTTCTATTTTTGCGTCATTCGTAGTTAAAGTCCTCATTGAATGACCAGTGCACGAGTGCATCGTACGAAAGCAGTGACATGAAACCGAGCATTCACGTGTATCGTTACGTAAAGCCGAAACGTGGGAAAAACGACCTAATTGCAAACGATTATACGACACAAGCTTCCCAATAACTTTGCGTAGCCAGACCAAACACGGGATTTCGATTCGCGTCAGATATCGTTAGTACACGCGATTGACATGTGCTTCTCGCTTCACGATAGCCTCTTGTCTTCGGGTTTGTATTGTGCGATAACAGAAAATTACGTACCTGTTCCGTGTTCGTGTATCAACGACTCTAATGATTGATGCTGACTCGGCCGGTCAGTCATTCAACTTATTATTGTAAACTCTGTGCAAGATTTGACGTCGATTTTGAAATGATTACTAACGCGAGTAATGAAATTCCATCCCCATGGCTTTTGAGTCTTATGCAGCAAGTCAATCATGGTGTTGAAAGTCTATTTTATAATATAAGTGTGATAATATTTATGTAAGATAACATAAGCGAGACTCAACGTCATTCATGGAATTTCGTTCGTGTTAGAATTTCGAAGTAAATCGACAAGTTCCTCATAACTTTTTCTCCTGTTTTCTTTTACAGAAGAATAGTATGTATAAAGTACTTCATAATCAAGACATAAAACACGAGTGCTCGCGGTCAGGGGGACTGCATGCGTATCCTGATCACTTCAGGGAACCTAAAAACCTCTATCTTTAAGACAGCAGTCTACTAAATGATTATCTGAAGGTTCCTGTCCTCTGTAGGACACTGTATATAGTGTAAATATTGCTTTTCTAACAAGAGACAAGCCAGAGCAGAAGGATTATCCAACTCATGCGGAGATATAAAAAGAAGAAAGAAGAAAAACCGAGAGAATACATATAACGAAAAGTTTGCACTCTAACTCCACTTGTACGCCGACGCACTTTCATCCAGCTAGAACGCATCCGATCGCGATCAAACGAATACAAATCAAATCGCGATACGAACAGTTTTCTGGCGAGGAAAAGATAAAGAAAACGAGCACAATGAAGCAACAAGCGTTGGACGATTTCCCTCTGTGGATGAAATTTCTTTCCGCAGGCACCGCAGCCTGTATCGCTGATCTGGCTACGTTTCCCTTGGACACCGCCAAAGTTAGGATGCAGGTACTTATTTCGAAGAATTTTTCTGACTAAGAAAATATCGTTTAATTTTACATTAACATTTTTTGAAATTACTATAAATGTGTAATGGTTTCTACTACGATGTTATAATTGTTTCTAGATTGCCGGAGAAAGCCGTCCTCTACTTTTGGCGACAGCGGACGGCTCCATGTTCGCGCTACGAAATTCTCAGCCAGGATTATGGAGGACAGTAGGAAACATCGTCAAACTCGAGGGAGTAAGGTACGTTGTTCACGATCCTATTCGTAATTTTAAGTCAGTGAAGGGGTAGGTACAACCAATTTACGATTACCATAATTATTATACGCAATAGCTACCAATTTTTTACGTATACGATTTTGTATATACGATCCTATCGATTTAGAGATAAAATACTTTTAACTCATCCGGATAACTTTGTCATGCCGGATCGAATACCATAGAGAAAAGAAATAAATTCCATACTGGCTGATTATAGGGCTATTAAACACATTCGAGTAACTTGAGTACATTGCTTCGCTACCATTAATTATCCTGAAATCTATTACTCGTTGACTAGCGAATTTCTCCGATTCTGTGCACGTAATACCGCGATACGATTACGCTTTGATTGATCTCTTTGCTTTCTAATTCTAATTAATTATTGAGTCGATCGACGTCGCTGTCATGCTCTGTGATGCGCGAGCCAAAATCTAATTATAATTAAACAAATGCGTAATTTGTTTGGATTCGTTGCTACTGTACACAGTTATTGCTCCATAATACTTGTACGAAAGCTAATCGAGAGAGAGCATCGATAACGACGGAAAAAGATCGATAAAGCATAATGTGTTAGCAATGAAATCGCGAATTTACAAGTATGATGAATCGCTGACGCACTGGCATTTTATTTCACTTATTATTACCAATGCTAATTAAATTACTTTCTTTTCTGTTTTGTTAAATTCCGTTTCTACTTTATAAAATGCCATCGACTTTTGTTCAATCGAACATGTCAATGGCATCCTTTTCTAATCTCTCTTAATCAGCCCTTTTCTCTTTTAAACTTGAACACGAGGTGCCTTTCAATACAGCATGATTATTACAGTATCCTTTATTTATTCAGAAATATAGAGATCAATAATCACTATGACTAAATCTTGGAAAGCACCACGTGTTAGACTTTGACCGTCCCATATCTATATCCAATTTCTGTTCTCATTTTTAATTTCAATTCTTATTTTTCTTTGCTTTACGTTTGTCCTGCCTCTGCTCAGCCACTGTTTAATTTTTTTGGACGCTCATAAGAAAATCTTGTAATAAAAGCAATGCAACAATGCATCGCTCAATTCTATTTCTACCGCGAATTCAATTTGTCATAACCATATCCAGCTCTCTCAACGCAGACTCTCTCCCATTAATTTATTTACGTTTTCTCTCGTGATCCTCGAATAATTTAAAACACTCTATTAGCTTCCCTTCATTCGCGGAAATCAATGATAATGCTAGCCTTAATTTTTTTTAATTCACTCGAAAACAAAACTAAAGCAGTTGAAATGCCTTTTATTACAATTACTCGAAAGAATGAAGGGGAGCATATTAGAGGAAGAAAGAGAGAGAACGAAAGGGAGAGAGAGACAGAGAGAAAGAGAGACGAAGAACGAGAGAAATAGAACGAAATATAGAGGATAAGAGAGAAAACAAAAATCGAAAGTGTAAAAGCAAAGAAAAGAAATAAATAAGTAAATGTACGAACTATTACCCCGGGCTACGTTTGAGGGTGAATTGTGAGGGGCCGGTGAGCTTGAGCGAGGGTGGTTACAGGAGCCTGTACGGAGGTCTGTCCGCGGGACTCCAGAGACAGATGTGTTTCGCCAGCATACGGTTGGGCCTCTACGACGGGGTGAAGTCACGCTACGCTGGAATCATCGACGGTACATCCAACAAACTCCTAACTTTTTTCAATTACGTAATCCTCCTCTAAGTACGAATATGAAACGAGTAGATCCAGTCTACTCATCTCTCTGTTACACGAACGAGTAACAACACGCGTAAGTAACGGCTGATTGGTCGACCATCGTTCACCATCGGCTGCCGCGTGCTATTACCCCTAAAAAGATACTTGTATTAATGAAGATAACTATTATCTTTAGCTGAACTAATTGATCGCGTATCGGAAATCACGGTCTCGTTCGAGTATCTTTTTTTTATTTTTTTATTTCGCCGATTAAAGATCGAGTCGTCATCGTTTCCACGGTTTAGAATAGTTTATAGTTTATACTGTAGGAAGCGAGAGTGGATGAAAGGTGAAGGAGATTAAGCCTGAAGAACTAAACTAATCGTCGATTTGCATTTACGTCGCTGTAACTTTCTTACTTCGTACTATAATCAACGGTTTTCATTTATATTCTTTTTTGTTTTTAAGATTAGAAATTTATACAAAATGTGTGAAACTTCGTCTCGTTAATAAGTCTGATTGTATTATTTAAACTCCCGTTAATCGCGTGCAGATGAATAATGTATCAATGTATGTTTCCATAATTAACGTGTATTCTAAACTACTAGATATCTTTATATACGTGCAGTTACGTTAACTTCCTCTACTTACTGGCATCAATGCGTTCATAACGCGAGATACCTGAGATCGATGACAAACCTTCTCTTTCATGCTTCGTCAATTTCAATATTTACTAATAACAATTATAATGATTACACCAATCATAAAGACAAAGATATTTGTCATTGATCTTAGTCTCAAGTATCTCGCTCAGCATTCGATCGAATTTCTTATCACAAGCCTATTGTATTCTCACAACAAGTCTCGTGACGCATGACATTAGAATACATTATCATAGACAAAGCGTTTGATTATAACGCTGACAACGATATATTTATACTCCACAAACGTGTTGTACCGCGCAATGCGCGATATTTAAAACCGTCCTGAATTCACTTGAACGAACAAAACCGTATTGTATACGTATACTATCCGGAACAAAAATTCAAATCGAATCTAACAACTCCGGACTGGATCGTTTTCTTCATCGTGCCTTTTTATCTTAACAGGTAATAACAGGAGCGGATCGAAGAATATATCTGTGCGAATCGCCGCTGGGTTAACGACTGGTGCGTTGGCGGTGCTCCTTGCTCAGCCGACCGATGTCGTCAAGGTTCGATTGCAGGCTGGAAGTAATGGACGATCATCGGTGAGATACAGCTCGACCTTGCAGGCCTACAAGAACATCGCCACGGAAGAAGGGACGAGGGGTCTTTGGAAAGGTAAAAGATTATTGACTCTACATATTACTGCATGCATGAGTCCTCTTTTAATTCGTTGCTGAATATAATGAAAGCTTACTTAACTTAAATTCGAGACAATTCGCAGGTATATCTGCAGACAATTGTCTTTCAGTCTGAACGAGATTAGGGGGTGTACCCAATTAAAACATGAGACAGAATCCAACAATTTGTAATTATTATTCTTTCATTCAGGAACCGTCCCCAACATTACGAGAAACGGAATCGTAAACGTCGCGGAGATCGTTTGTTACGACATCATCAAGGACTTCCTCCTCGAGCACAACTATGTTCGCGATGGTATCCCTTGCCATTTGACAGCTGCGGTGACAGCTGGTCTGTGCACCACGCTCGTTGCCAGCCCAATCGACGTAGTGAAGACGCGTTACATGAATAGCGCCCCAGGCGAGTACAAAGGGGTGAAGGATTGCGCCGTTCGTATGTTCATGAAGGAGGGATCGGCCGCATTCTACAAGGGGTTCGCGCCTAGCTTTTCACGTCTGGTATCCTGGAACATCGTTCTGTGGCTCACTTACGAGCAATTCAAGATCTATGCGAATAAGATGAATCAATGAACACACGTTGAATCCTAAGCGATTCACTGAGCATACATTATACAACCGTGCTTTAATCACATCGCAGCTTCATTAATCTCTCTCTGTATCTCGATCGTGTGTAACTTAGGGATGGGAGAATCTATTATATCACGTGCAAGTTAGGCTTGGACTTGCCTACCGTCGTTACCTCTTCTTTTACTAGAGATTGAAAATACGTTCTCGAATTAGACATTCAAAATTATGCAAATAAGTATAAGACGCGCGTATATAAAATATTTCTCTTCAAAGTGTTTATGAAACGTTTATGTCTCTATGAAAATCAGTAGTGAGTTGAACGATGATTTTCATGTCAGGGTAAAACAATAGACTTATTTTAAATTTTGCTTTCTCTTGATCAAAGGATTGCAATAAATCGAACATAGTTTGCTTGATCTTAAAAGTGCATATAACTTCGATGCGAACGACGGTAGTCAATTCTCCCATCTGCATATTCGTTGTATGTTAATCTTTCTTTAGAAACGGCCGCACATGCACTGAAAATAAATTCAAATTATAAGTCAAGTATTTTGGAATTCGGTTTCGTAAACCTACGGAAAAATGTCGTTCATTCAAAACTGAACTGAAAGACATTTACTTGTAATTCGTATTAAGAAAATTGAAGAAAACTTTAACTAAATTCAGAATGCTCGTGCGACCTTAGGAGTTTCTAAAATAATTCATAAGAAAGGGTTTTCGGCTGCTATTTAGACAACTTTAGAAACATGTAGAATAATAAAAGGAAAAAAGGTTTCTCTCACTGTAAGAATCTAAGTATAACATGCGCATTACGATACGCCAGTCAGACAATAAGGTTCCGGAATTAATTATTATCAATTTTTGACATAGTGTACAGCACGTGACACTGCGTTCGAATGATTTCTGTTTTTAGACTTTGAATTAAATTCTCCGATGGTGCTGTAGTCAAGAGTTAAACGAAGATCCTTTGCTACATAAATACGTATAACTTATTACACCCTCTTTATTCTAACCATTACGTTAACGCGGGATAATTTATCGCAGTCGTCCCTAGATTATTTAACAAAGAGAAAAGACATAAAAATCTCGTTTCGGGTCAATTAAATGTACAGGGCACAATTTTTGTCGAACTTCGACCGAAGAATTTGTAGTCTCTTATTTAAAACTATGTTACTATCTATTCATGTACACTTCGCATTAAAGAGCTATTCCTATCTCATCAATTTCATTCGTGTAATCTATTTATTATTTTCTTAATTTTTTTTTTTGATCACATTACCAACACGTATAGCAGTATATTCGATTTCTCGACTTTCGTGAAATCAAAAATTGCGATTCAAATACCACGCAGTATTAATTGTTTAATATTACACTTAACCGATTACTGATTGTATCAGCTCATGTCATGATTACGACATTTACAATCCACAAACAGCTGTTGCTAATGCACAGCTATATATAACTGTATAATTAACGTTACTGCCTTTCCAAATTAGTTTAAGAAGCAAAATTATTTTTTCAGTCTTGATATTAGTACATATGTATTTTACGTTTCAAAAGAGAAGGATTACGATAATTGTATTACACAAATATCAATCTTCGTTAAAATGGCACAATTGTTTTTAAACTGTGGACGACAATTTTAAGCCTGGCTGATGTAAAGAACTATCTTTGATTCAGTAGTACCTGGATAAATCGATAAATGATCGAATATTTCCAACACGTAAACGGATTTTCGAATGGTTGCGGGTATGTGAATGTTTTTAGTCTCAAAGCGCAAGAGGAAAATGAATAAATAAGCTTTATTTTCTATGATCACATTCGATAAAATATCACATACAATAATAATACGTAAACAGTGTGAAACAGCACAAAAGGAAAATGAATTTTGCTTTCCAGGAATTAATTATTCCAATTCTTCAAAGGCCGGCATCCTTGATAATTAGTATATTACATACTTTCAGTGAACATTTTATGCAGTCTTCTACTTTCGTATCGATGAAGCCTCCTGCTTCTTATACTGATCGTCGTTTTTATTTGGACGAAGATGCTCAAATTCGAGTTCGAAGTTTCAATATGTAAAATGTGTAGCTAAGGCGATCGTTTCTCTTTTTTTCTCAAAATCTTATACAAAAGAGATCGAGGCTTCGATTTTTTCTGAATAGAATAGGATCTCCGTAGACGTAGTTCGACATTTGTTACAAGTTTTAAATAAAAATTCGTCGAAGCGTACAGAAGTATGTCGTTTTTTTTATTCGACAACCATGAATCTATATAATTCTTCCTGACCAATGTGCAAGAAGCGCAAATCCTTGCCAATTTGATAATCCGCGATGGCCTTAAGTTTCGAAATCGGATTCGTCCGATTCGCAACTGGACGAGATGTCATCCTCCATACATGTTGACTCTTCAGGAATGCCTTCCCCCATTGGTATCCTACAAAAATAATCAAACATTGATGCAACGATATCAACAATATTGAACAATTTTTTTAACCATCTCCGTTGCCACTAGTTATATTAGTAAGTCAACCAGGCAAGATTTAACATATTAAACTGTTATATGGAAGCACATGTTATGTTATGAACACTCATTGAAACGTATTAAAAAATATTGCACACAAATCTTGCCTCGAGTTGTGTACTTAATCATTCGCTAAGGAATCGCAGATACATGATGCACCGCAAGTTTGTCCTGAATGCATTTAGGGACCTTTTTCCGTCTCTGAGAAATGCATTTTAACGGACAACAACCTTCCTCCGGCATCCTGTGTTCAGAAACCCTTGACGTTAAGTTTTCTACAAACGTGCCTGTCATCAAGTCACAATTCCACGCGTCACAACTTACTTCTCGATGCTCCAGTCCTCGGCGCAATCCTTCATCATTGATAAAGCCTGACAAAAATCCTGTCCGATCGCCTTCAGGTCCTTCGTGTCCAGATGCAAGCCGGCTAGATTTCCCTGATCGCATCCGCAAAAGCTGCTCTCCATCGTGTAGCTCCTGTGCAAGATCAAACCGAACGAATCGGGATTGACGCGATGGAAAGTTCGATATAACCGAGACGTGCCTGCAGGAACATACCTTGAAACGCCCAGCTGCCTCCATATGGCTACTCTAGCAGTCGACTCCTTGTTCCTCTCGACCTTGAACGAGCACAGTGGCAACGCGAACGCCGGGGATATTCTTTGCATGAGGTGTGGCAACATCTGAAACGCATATTGCGAGGGTCGCTTTAAGGAAAGTACACCCTCCGATAGTATTTATTTTACAACGCACCTAACTGAATCCCGCGGAGCACGGTACATAACGTTTTAATTTTATTTCAAGCTCCGAACACGCAATCATTTTTTGTAATCTCATCAAACACTACGACGGAACTTATGAAGCGATCAAACAGTTCCTGCCAGGTTGCATTCCGATGCAAAGTACACGGGTGTTTAAGATTGGAGCGCACAGTATCGATGGAACTATCCTCGGTTCGCCGTAAATTACGCTTGCTCGCGAAACTTGTTTCGCCGCGAAGCAAAGCGGGGAACCGCTCGCTTGTAAATTGAGTTCGATAGATCGCGCTAGATTACCGTTCGTACCCGCAATGCGACTCGTTGCGTGCGTCTAAAAATAACACCGACATGCTCCTTTTTCGAATGCCCTTACCAAATACTGCGCCGGCTGGTCCGGTTTCGCCCTGTCCGCGGCGCTCCAAGAACCCGACCTTGAGCAACCGAACAGAAACACGTTCTTCCTCCGTGAATGGCCGTGGTAGTCGACGAAAACGTACGGCGGCCGCTGCAGCACCCTCGTGCAGTACTCCATCAGTCCCTTCGTGTGGTATATCACTGGATGGAGAACCTGATTAGGGTTGCTCCATCGCCGATTCAGATCCTCGTTCGTCAAACCATATCGATTGCTGTAATCAATCAAACGAGAGCATTCCTTTAAGTCTCTCTCTGAACGCAATCAACGGAAGGGGAGTGTAGAAAATATTCACCACATTCTAGTCGTACATATCTGTTAAAATCAAAACGTTTATAGATGACTAATAGACAAACTTTTAACAAAAATTACAAATGCTTGACCTTCATTTTGGAGAGAGTACACGGACGTTGATTAATCGCGTAGGTTCTGATCGATCGTTTCCAATGTAAATACATTAATACGTTGTCGATCGCGCGTTCTATTTGCACTCTACTCGCTAAAGAAACCAGAGTCAACTATTTTATTTATATCGCGGATCGAAGTTCTGGGAAGCACGGTTTTAGAATTTCCTGTCAGTTCGCACGTCGAGAAGGTGAATGAAGAAGGGCCCCGATGGTCGGAGATCGTCTTCATTTAAGGATTCAACCGCGGTTAGAAGGACGTTTCCGGCGGCCGGAAGTCGACCCGAAGGAAGCGACGCCTCCACGTCGCGCATAGTTAATGCTGGTGCATCGTGGACCTCTGGCGTCCACCGATACCAGCTCGTTGTTACCTGCCGCGTCGTTTTGATATTGTTTCAAGGTGTACTTATCCCCTTACCCGATACTCGGAATACTAAATACGCGCATCGTGTCTGTCAAGAACTTTTTTCTCTCCTCTAGATCAAACACGACACTCAAAATCTCTGAAAACTTAAATATTTAACGTGACCAAACATTGTGACGCAACATGACCGAAGTCCGAAATTCTACTGACATTACTCCAAGGTCAAAATCAGCATTTCGAAAACGTGAACTTCATTAAACAGCAGGACAATGTACATTTCGAGAGGAACGCAAATTATTTACTCGCGATCGAAGTAATTATCAGGCAGTAGAGTCACGGCTGTAGGAAATCGTTTGAGGGATTAAAAGTCGGTGTAGAGGTGGACGTACTTATTGTAGACGTCCCCTCTGATCGAGACATCAGAGCCACGTAACAGAAAACATTAGCAATTTGACGCCTCGTAATCGCTTCCGGTCTTTAAGGCAGTAGGTACACGTGCACGTGACACAGACCCAAGATAGCAGCGTAACGATCGATATCTCGCTCGACTCTCGGAACAGATGGCGAAGAGAATAATAAGAATAATGGACGCGCGATGACGATGCACCTGTGGTTGATGTTGATGACGGTATACGTCGCGACGCGGTGTACGCGAAGAAATGCTCCGTCTTTTTCGTCGTCGAGGACGTTCACCGGCGGACGTTCACAGAAATCGTTGAAAAAAGGACAGTCATTGGAAATAATAGATTTCGTCCGGTGGGGAGCGTGATAGAAAGAGAAAGATAAACAGGAAAAAGAGATGAGACGAAATAAATAGTAAAAAAACTGCTTTTGGACGTTGGTGCTTATAATTAACGAACAGAGAAGTTTAGCTTCTTTAAGAACAGCAGTGTTTAAAATAGCATTACACCACTATAATTCTGTTATCTTCATCTCTATTACAGGTAAAACCTGAAGAAAAAGGAGAACATAATTGTTAATTAAAATTTTCTTTGTTCTACTTCAGTCACGGTCATGATTGCAAGAGTCCTTTGCAAACAGGAAAACGTGTTTCCCTCGGCTCAAAATTTCATTGTACTCACTAATACATTCAATGACTGTAATCAGCAGATTACATTTACGATTAGACTATTATACTCGAGGAGAAAGAACGCAGCGCATCACGGCGCGGTAATAAACGTTCGAACAATTCGAAACGAAGAGAGATGTAAATTGAACGGTGAGAGTGACAATGAAGCAATTGCGCGAGGAGGCTGAACTCGCGGTTTTATTAACCAGCCGATGTAATGGGCAACATCAGTCTGTTCGTGCTGGCATAGCGAGTTCCGATGTCAATGACTCGAACGGGGGAGCCTTGACCGCGAACTTCTCTCACCTCCTGAGAGATCCTGTACAAATTACACTTAACCGACTGGCTCGGGACCGGCTCCAAGAGCGTGAGATTTTCAAAGGTACCGCCACGTCTCGAAACAAAACCCGACAAACAAAAACCTCTGGTGAATTATCCTGATCCCGCGCTCGTTGGATTACGATTACCACTGCCGCGCCACGCCGATCGCGCGCGATTTATCATCGTAATTTAATCGTTCATAAATCACCGTGGGGATATCCATCGTTTCTCAATTTCATTGTCATTCCCTACCGCTGGCGCACGAGCTTTTATCGATTATCGATAGGTAATCGCGAACCGATAGCACGATTTACTTATTATCATACCTTAACCGATCGTAAATCACCGTGGAACGCAATGGATATGGCTTCGACGATGCTACTGCACTAGGACATCGTTCGATATTGGAGGATTGCAACGAAAGTGATTGCATCGCGGCGCGGCGTTTCTCTTTGGTTTCGCTCTCAACAGAGAAGACTCACGATCATCCTGCCACGAAAATGGAAATCGAAAAGCCCCCGAGGCCGAGAAATTTGGGAACACTGTATAGAAACCTGATGTATACTTGTAGAAAATCGTGTCAAATTGTGTATTTAGAAAGAAGACTCCACGGGTCTTAAGAGACAGAAGATGAAATTTCTCAATTGGTTATCGATCAAAACGCTCAGTTCACCAGGAAGAATAGCCCCCTCCAAGGTTAAAAGAGATCGTGCAATTTATACCTATGACGTCGATACCTTTTACGTATATTAACGGTTATCGAACATTCATTAATCCCGTTATGCATATTCGTCTTCACAGTTCATCGATCTCGCTCGGTATTTCGATTTATCCATACGATTGAGAGTTATCGCGCTCCATCAAACCGCTACCAAAGAAAATACTGTCAGAAGTCATGAGATACTTTAGTCAAGAGGATCGCGAGTCAAGGGGAAGGAAAAATCCACTGGGCATCGTTTTCTTGCAATCGTAAAGCGAAATTCTTGGGCACCTTGGGAATGCTCATTTCTTCGTGGTCATCTTTCCACGTATCACGCGTTTCTTCCGTGAACTTTACTACCCACTCGGGTAGTACCCTCTATCTGTTGTTTCATCTCTTCTCGCCTCGCGGCATTTTCTTCCCGAGGTTATCCCGGGGTTCGATCGTGTAACCAACTCCTTTTTACCCTCGCCTGGCGAGCGAAGCCACGAACTCCGAGCAAGAAATCCATTTCCTGCGCCGATACCGAGCACGAACACGAACGAATACGTTCCATTTCAATTCCTACTCCGTTTCATCCATCCGTGATTATTTTGCCACGGTTTCTAGAACGATCGATGTCCACTAAGGATCTTGTTACGCGTGCCTGAAATTTTATGTGGAATCGCGCCACGTAAATAAGGGTCTAGTTAAAAATGAAAAATAATTGCAAGTATTGCAATAAATGTTGCAAGTCGGATCAAATATTTCATAAGTAAGATGTCAAAGTCTTATCCGTAAACGAAGTGGAAACGCTAAAACCAGCTTTTTAGGATATCGTTTGTAGAATAAATTTTCAATCAGAGAGGAGTTAGTCCGACAGAATAACAGCGGATGTTGTAGTTAAGATTTTCTTCTGAACGGGATTCACATATGTTGTCGTGTTCGTGGCGACTACATTTGTCGCGATATATCGTGTTTAAAACGTGCAAATTACCACGGTGCACCTTGCTGTAAATACTTGTACGTAGCTGCCGCGGTTATCTCGAACGTCTTCAGGCTCCCAAGTGTGTATATCGAGCGCCTACTTTAGGTGTAGTACACACCAGGGATTAAACAGGATTGTCTTCTAATGAACGCACCCATCGCGTGAGATCCTCGAAGGGGATTGCGTTATTATTTTATGATATATATTCAATGTTTCCACATATGACACGTTCGGCAAATGAGGTTCTAATAGCTTCTTAATAAAACTGTTGTACAATGGTTTTATCTTCAGTGTGCGCCGTACTTTAAGCTTCCGTGCGTCGTGATACCGCACGTATAGATACAGGAGGCGAAGAAGCAGAAGCAGCAACAGCGGTAGAAGCAGGAGCAGATCGCCAGCGACTCGTATCTTTATAGCGTCACCGATACAAAAGGGACGCGAAAGGTCTCAGGTGACACTTGCTTGCTTCGAGATCGTGGCTCGAAGGGCTAAAGCGTTTGCGCATTAGAATACTCGTGACCGGTCCCCGATTTGCATTCCTCCTGGCGAAACCAAGGTCTACTCCACTGTGCTTCCCTTTCTCTCTCTTCCTCTCTTTCGTTCTTCTCCATTGAATCCTTTTTTTTGTCTCCCATTCCCTTCGCTCTTTTTTCCACTACGTCGAGGGAATGGTCGAGAGGAGAGAGAAAAAGGCGAGACCTGATGAATTCTCTCTCAGCCCGCTGACGTTTCTTTTTCTGCCGCCCTGACCGATCGTTTCTTCGAAGTTGATGCAGTTTGCTACGGCAAAGCCAGCAGCCCTGTTGTTCTCCTCTCCTTTACCTTCTCCTCTTTCTTCTTCTTCTTCTTCTTCTTCTTCTTCCACGGTGAACGAAACGTAGGAATGCTATATACGTGGAGGTTTTTACTATATGTAATACGATTCGTCGCGGTGAACCAACCTCGGACCCGAGGGCCATCGTAAAATTTGCGTTTCACAGCAAGCGGCCCTCGCGTAAAATAGAAACGGCCGGAACGACGGATTCCGGCTCTCGTGGATTAATAAAAGACCGGGTGGTAAATCAATTCTCTTAGAAGGCTATTGGCATCCTGCGATCACTAATGAGTAACATGAGGAAAAAGATGCAGAAGGACGCACAGGAGGAAATCATGTGGAAAACGTTTCGACTCGTTCTTCGAGTTCGACGTACCTTCAATCGCAATCGTTTTGCTAAATATAACACAATCTTTGCATCCTAATCTTCGCCATCTTTCATATCGAATGTGATAGGTCGAGTCTAGAATCTTAATCGCAAAATTATTCGAGTGTGGAAAAGCCCTGGATTTTCTCCGTATCAATTACTTTCCTGATCGACAACGATAGATTAGAAATCTGATTATTTCAAATTACACAATATAATTTCTAATGTCGATAAACGAGTCAGTAAAAAATGAAACGTTAACGGTATTTATCGATTCAAGAACCGTGAAACATCAAGGACGAACAAACAGGAACTCGCTGGATACCCGTCCGTGAAAGATGAACATTTGTATGATCACGTCATTCATTGGTAAGCGATTTATTCGACGACGGAATGCGAAATATTGAATTTAGTTAGTCGAGATTCATTCGCCGGGATTCGTTCGCAGCCGGCACAATAAATCCTGAGATTTAATTTCGCGATTTCTCGATACCTGGACAAGTGCCGCTGCGGGTGGAATAGATTTCTCGCCTATCCAAATCCAGATTTAATTTAGGATCCCGACCGTCTCCGGACCAGGGACATGGTCGCTCGGAATCCTTCTCGGTAATACCGTGCGATACTGAGAAACTATATAAAACGATAGACGGAACAGAATTAGGTCTGAAAATATAAAGGAGTAACAGGATCCTTAATGAAGCAAATCTTTGACAGGCGCTAAGATGGGTCAAATTGATGGCTTCTAATACTTAGAAACAGGCCGGCGTTTAAATCTGTCCGAGCTATTATTGTTAAGAAACTCAGCGATTATTCAAGAATATTCGAAAGCGTACTCGAGGCGATTCTTCCACTGCACGAACATTCTTACCGGTTCCCCACTCTACTAATAACGTAAATCACCTCAACGTAGTCCACGAATATAAATGAATCCCCCATAATAAAGAAGGAATGTAAATTCATCCGTTCGCGCTGCTTACTCTACGATTAACTTCATGAATTCTTGCACCGCTTAATTGTTCGAAACCAGATAAATAGTAAGCGACACGGCTCGATATATCTACATCTTCAAGAATGCCAAGCGTTTTACCCGATTATAAAAAAAAAGACTCGACGATCATTATCTATAAATTTAATCTAAAATGATTAATACTGCCCCTGAACAGAGCAATTATTGTTATTATCCAGTTTTCAGTTTTAAGCGCTATGATTGAGCACACGATTAAGCATCATCGAGCATGTTGCACTGATCGAAATGTTTTTGCCAGGCGGTTGTCACTATTTTTATATTACCGTAATTATGAAATAATCACAATAATCCAAATAATATTTTACATTGATTTAGTAAAATTAGTTGTTCGACTCAAGACCCTCGCACAGATTGAAGTTCTAGGTCAGCCGCGAAGGCCCAAGGCACGCAACAGCGGCGAACGTAGGAGCTCAAGTAAAACGAGGCACGTTTTAATGATCACCATCGTGGCTCTTATTATCGTTCATTCCTGGGTTTTATCTGTGATCTCGTATCGGCATACGAAGAACCAGTCGCGGTGGCTGCTGATCCCGATGATTTAGGGAATGTATCAGGATTACGTGTACCACCCGACGACCACCCGAGTCTCACCCTTTCCTTGGGCGACTCACCGTGTAATCGTGTTATACCCAGGAACACCACTGTCTAAATATATACGTACTCGCTGCGGTGCATACATAACAACACGCGGGTACGTAATCAATGAGATATCCTGGATAACTACATGTACCTGGTTGCTCTCGCGACCAACATCTTTCCATTTGATCTTGATTATATCTATAAACTTTTTAATGTGTAACTTTTATATCTTTAAACTTTTTAATGATTTAATTATATCTATAAACTTGATTCTTGAGGAGATTCATTAGAGAATGTCTCATCAGAAAAAAAATAGGACATTACGTTCCGGTGTTAACTGACTTATGAGTTCGAGAAAAAATAAGTCGAAGAAAAAATGGGCACGACTATTCGTGTTTCTCGTGCTAACGACTCGTCCGACCACTTTTTTTTTATCCATTTAATTGGATTCTCGAGGAATTAGGCAGAATTTTGGATACCCTCTAGATAAGCGGATTGTATTAGGTAACGCTGCCTCCATAAATCGTAGCGAAATATTCGACGACACACCAAATTTTAACTTCTGACCAGGAATAAAGAAGAATTAAATTTAGAATTGATTATTTATTGTAAAACCTCTTCTAAAATTAGAGCATAATGTTTATGTACTAACGAATCAGATTACTGTACTAACATCAGTTGAAAATTACACCAACAAATCCTTTAAAAACGTGCACGTTAAAAATAATACACTACTTTAGAAGTATCGAAATGTAAGAGAAATCAGGCTCATTCTTCTTTTCAAAATTGATTGATAGAATTAAATGGATCAAATATGCATTTAGATTATGTCAATGAAAAACGAAAAATGAAGAAATGAAAAATAAGTTTATAACTTTGTACATAGAACGTATTTTCCGGTTTTTTCGATCCGAATAAGTATTAGGTGGACCGTTCCCGCAGGAATAACGCGGAGGGTAGAAAGAAATCAACGGCCTTACATAGCGATTGCTCGGCTTGGGCCTGAAATAGACCTCGAGAATCCCCCTGTAGCATCCTCTCCATTCCTCTCTTCACTTCGATTCCTCAGCCGCCACCATCTTCTCCTCCTCCTCTTCTTATCCAACCTTCCCGTGCCTCTTCTTCTTCTTCTTCTTCTTCTTCTCTGTCCGGCAACAAGCTTGTTGCCCATGGCTCTCTCGAGAGCCTCTCTTTTCTTTGCTTTTGTTTCCACAAAAAAGGAGCAAACCAAGGGACTGTGAGAAGCTGTTCCTAACGTCTCGTTCGCGCGGATAGCGTCCCAACGAAGGATGAACTGAGAGACGAGGAAAAGAAGGAGGTGGAAGACGATGAAGAAGGTGGTGGACGATCGGTTGTACTTATCCACGATCGAGCTTCTGCTTTCGTTTCGATATATAGCCACGAACAGAAGAGACCCCCGTACACATCACTGGAGTCGAGAGTGTAAGTAAACTTCTACTGTATTCGCATCTCTGTATTCCCATAAGACGCCGAGAGAATCCGAGTTGTTTAACTGACCTACGCCAAACGATGTATAACCGACGGAACATGACCCACGCAACAATCGACCGAAAATCTTTCTTCAGTTTATAGTGAATATTAATCACAAAACTTATCTACGAAGAATCACAGCATTTTGCTATTTATTTAATTATTTCTCTTTTTAATTTTTCAACTTCGTTTAAACAAGTATTATAACTACCTCAATTTCGTCTTATTTCAAGGAGAAAAAGTCACGGTAAAATCAGAGAGGCGAGTATATTTTTAAAAGGTATCCATATAATAATCGTAGATGGTGCACCCTCGCGTGATTGCTCGTTTCCATTTACGAGCGACCCTTGGTCTATCCGTAATAAAGCACGGCCTTCTGTGATTATGCCTCTGAATAGATCGTACTCGGCTTCTCATTATGTATAAGCGGGCTCTGATCGGCTCACGCGTATCGTTTAAGGATCGGCAGGTTTTGCGTACCAAAAGAAAGAAAGAGCATTAAGGCAAAAGGGGAAGATCCTCGAAGGAGGAACGGCGATCGAAAGGGACGCGGTGGGTCTCGGATGTCACGCGAGGAGCTTCTTTTTGCAGTAACTGGTCGCGTAACAGAAATAACACGTCGAGTACGATGATCATCGATCCCAGCGGCGATGTTACAGAATATAAAATCGATCCGATACGGTCTGAGAGGAAGAAGACGGGCGGGTTTCTGCGTACCGGTTGCGTACGTATCATAACTCGTAACGGAGGTAACTGGGCTCGCTGGAGCTAGTGGTCCACACTCGTTTACAACGCGAGAAAGCAGCGAACCTCATACTCCAGGAGTTGATGGTACCTCATAAGGAAAAAGAACCGAAGCCTACCTTGAGACACGCAAATTCTTCTTGCTGCTACTGTCTATACCCACGAATCAAAAATCAATTTGATTACAATTATTATTACCTTTAAATTGATCTAACGTACGGAGAATTTGTACCATACGAAGAAAAAGTGCATTGAATTCAACTTTATACACGCACGATCTTAAAATATAATCTAAATTAAATTAAATTCTGTATGTACCAATTTTCGAATCATTCGACTTGTAGTAGCTAATTAAGATAGACATTCCAATAGGATATAAGATGCGCATTAGAATCGATAAAAATCGTGGATGTATTTAAACGATTGTAAAGCGATTACGCGTTTTTCATGCGTTGAAAGTATGTACCTCCCTCAATGGGGGCTCGGTGAATGCTGATGCGGCATGCCGCGCTGGGAAAAAGAAACTAAGCGCGGAAAGAACGAGGAATAAGAATAGACGGCGCCAAAGGCTTAACAAGGGAACCGGTTATGTTCGTACCTCCTGCGCTGGTGTACCTACTTGCAACTTTCCGCAGGAGATTCCATCGAGTCATTTCAACCACCGTGCACAATATATTGTGAACACGCGCATGATTCATATAATACTCGATATATCCAACTGCAATCGTCGAACACCATGTCCACCAATTGACTCTTCGCCTCGTGTCCAAGTCGTCGACACAGCGTAAATACCAAATCCATACCACGGAGGAAGCCAAATACGAAGAAATCGACGAAGGCAACATGAATAAGTATTGTAATACATAATTGCATAAGCATTGCCATTACGAATTATGTTATTTCGATCCGCGGAAAACAGAGATACTAAGGGATGGTACGCGAGATGCGGTCCCACTGAGAAATGAAGTCTACCTTGAGGTCGGTGTCTTTTTGCCAGGAGCCGTCGATACGATTCCATTGAAGAGCGTTGAAAACCGTGAAGAGACGCCGAAGCGAAATTCCATACGCTGAAGCTGCCAACCAACCAACCAACCAACCAACCAACCAACCAACCAACCAACCAACCAACCAACCAACCAACCAACCAACCAACCAACCAACCAACCAACCAACCAACCAACCAACCAACCAACCAACCAACCAACCAACCAACCAACCAACCAACCACCGTAAAACAAACTAAACGATGGAACTACGTTTATTAATAGCCTGCACCGCCACTCCAAATAGATTCGAGCGCTGAGTTCAGCATAAACGATCCTCCCGCCGACTAGTAGACAGCTTCTCGCAATGTTCTCCGTTCCTTTAACGATCGAACTGCCTTCGATCCTCTTCGTGGTTCTCCAACCAAAAAAAGTATTCCCTTATATACTACCCTGTCTCGTTCTCCATTCCATTAAGTATTGGCATTGGACACAGCTCGATCTTCCTCGCGGTACTCGCCGCCTTCCTCCAGGCTCCATCGACGTCGTAACCTTCGATCGTTTACTCGATTCTTAAGTCCACAGCTATCTGCCGTGTCACTCTACTCACTCGACGTACGAATCTGTGCTTGAAGATCCGAAGAGGAACGGCGTTTCAAGTTCGCGATGTATCTCATACGCGACAGGAGTCGTGTCAACGAACGCACTGTATCATCTTGTTTGACCCTCCGGCTCCGACTGCTATCGTGGCACCATTCTTTCTTTTTCTTTAATTTCCTTGTGACCTTGTCACCTTACAGGTTTTTTGTGCCAGCGAAGTGGAATACATTTGGGATCGTACCCCCCGTCCATAGGTCGAGAGAGCTGTCCCGTGCTCTTCGTCTCTCTCGCTCTCGTCCCTTCGTCTCGTCCTCCTCTAGGTTAGCCAGTGAATCATCTTCAACGACCCCCTCCTCTGGGATCCGGGCAGAAGACTCTTAAGGGGGCCCACAGCGCAGCGCGAGGCCAGTCCGAGAACGCGACCCTAACACTTACATCCGGTGTATTCCGAGAGTCGGAAATCGGAAACGGAAACGGAAACGACTGCTTGATCGATTAATCGACACACGGCACACCATTATGAAGATCACCTTGTTGCTGCTCGTCGTCGCTGCTTTCGCCTCAGGTTTGTACCTACATCCGTACAATTGGACGATTTCTTTTACAATCCACAACCCAAACGTGTTGCCCCTTCGATAAAAAGTGCTCCTAATTGTTGCATACTTGCAAAAAGCTGCTTTACTGCAGAGAACGATATACGTTGAGTAGATCTACTTTTTTAAGTTCTGTAAGTGAACGTGCACTTGAAATCTATTAGAGTTCTCAATACTGAAATTTGCTGAGTGTAGTATCGAATAATTAGTGATTTAGATATAGAGATCTACTTTCGGATGATTAATTCAACAAGAATGACTCGTGTGTTGGAACGCTGCCAACACAAATTTGTACGTTGAAAGATCACTCGGTTCTTCTCATTTCCGAAGCTCTTTTGTTCGACAATTCTTCTTATCCCCTCAGTGAAAACACTGACGCCGAAGCGATATCCGATGCATTTAAATTCGATTAGATTTGAAACTTGTGGTCGTGCATTCTTAAGATCAATACTGTCCTGTCATCTTTCTCAAAAGACAAATACAGCTTTCATTTCCCGCTCTAATGATTACGAGTTCCTATCATCATTTCCTTATTTTTGTTAACTCTTTGAGCGAGGTATCAATGTTTTGCCAATGGGTAGTCGACATCGAGGTCACATTAATTACGATGCGAGTGGCGTAATTCGTGAATGAAATTGGTAACTCCGAGTGTCTGGCGGGTGTCTCCTTTCGCGAGTACGCAAGCAACAGACGTCTCAAGGTCTTCAGATCGTTCACCACCACTTGCACCTTACGTCTTCACACTCCGGAACCTTTTCAATGCGGAGCATATCATACGAATCGTACAGAAACTTCGAGACCCTTGTTTCATAATACTTCACCTTCGCTTAAAACTCTATCTCCTTTAAACGAATATATGACAGAAAGTATGAGGAACTGATCATGTTTTGTATCATTGACACAAAATTGAAAAGAAAATTTCGCGCATGTGGCAAACAAGTAGAAAACAATTAATAAAGAGACTAATTTTCTGGAAAGTATTTAGAAATTCAAACGAATTATAATTCGTAAGCACAGTTAATTAAATAATAACCGTAGAAGTTCGCTGAACTCATAAGCACGACGTATATCCGTGTGAACACAAAGCATGTACATAGTCACTGTGAAGTTGGTTAAACCGAACAACCTCGGTGTCTACGACCAGAAGTTACATAATTAAAATTGTATCAACGAATCATTAGGGACGGCGAGACCGCTCGTTTCATGATATTTGCTTAAAGTATTTATGAGCTCTAAAATAGCATACAGATGAGAATAAGATCTGCATATTAATTGTTTTATTTCATTGCACGATGTGCATTAGTTAATTAACGAGTGCAAGATATTCTGCGCTGTTCGCACGCGTAACGGTTTACGCGACGTTGCTATAAATGGGACACCGGGTATATTAGAATTCACGTGATGATTTTTCCCGCGTCTGCCATTTGTGGCCTGGTCGGAAGTCAATGGCAGAGACGTGCTTCGATGAGATAATAATGAGAGGGGGCCAGAAAATAATTTTTTTATTCATCAGCTGGTCGAGAAGGTTTTCTAGCATTGCGATTCGAGGAACACTTCTTTTATAAATAATTTTGCTCATATCATGTGCATATAATTTACAACAGATTACGATTAAGAGATGACAACAATTTTTTAAAATTAAATAGCAACCTGTAAAAGATTAAATAAACAAGCGGTAGTCGTATAGCGGCCACATTCTCCATTATTAAATATTTTTATGTATGCTAAGATTGAACAAAGAAGAAATAATATGTATAAATCGTTTCGCAGCTCAAAGGATCACAACGATCCAGCTTGATGGCGTGCAATACTTCGTGTCGAGGATGAATCCGTACAGTCCCGAACTGAACTACTTCCTGGCCTATCAGTACTGTCGGTCCCTAGGCCTTCAATTAGCCTCCTTCGAGACGAAGGAAAAGGCCGACACGATGACGCAGTACCTGAAGAACGCCGGCTACGTGAAGTACGACTTCTGGACATCCGGCAACAAGTTGGGCACGGACATGTTCCTCTGGATGAGCACGGGTCTACCGTTCAACGCCACATTTGACTATATGTTGAGACGACCTGGCAACAGACCTGCGGACGTTCCGCCAGGCACCGAACCTCAACGAGTAGCACGGGAAAGGTAAACCATTTGTATTCAGAATAAATCTTCTTGACCCTTCGAGATCTATTCATAGATCAATCTAAACGACTAAAGTTAAGAAGTTCATTTTATCCTGTAAATGTGGACGTGTCCGATGATTTCATCTGTCGATTCGAATAGAAATTATCCCTCAAGAAAAACGTTTAGAACCGGAAACCACGTAGACAAAGAGAACCGCGCTGGAGGAGGCACGTAGACAAATAGAAGTGCGGTATCGCGAACAAGAGGACAATAGGTCCGACTCGTTGTCACGAACGATAATTATCGACGATCCTTCCCGTCTCCTTCCGGAAGCGCGTGCGTCGAATCGTAAAGCGTGTCCCGAGGCGATTTAAATTCTAATCCGGATACACATGTTCGTTTTTTCTTCTTTTAAAAGCGGTGACAGTGGCAGCGCGGACGGATGTGTCGCGATGGTAGCGCCTACGTTAGCGTGGGAGGCTCAGGACTGCACGTTGGTCAAGGATTTCATCTGCGAGCAAACGAGATGCTACTACTACAACTACGGCAGCATTCCAGTCTCTGCGACTCAGGGGTAAGAGGTGAGATAATTACTTGTCACAAAAAATACACGAAACCTAATCGAGAGAAAGAGAGATCGATAGATAAGGCATCTTATCAAGAGATTTCAACTATAATTAAGGTGGATTTTGACGAGGCACAGAAAAAATGTAAAGCTCGTACGGTATCGAGCTGTTTTTTCTCTGTGCAATTTGACGAAATGATCTGATAAATAACGCCTAACTGAATAATGTAGAATGAGAGTAAAACTATAATATAGATGATGGTACTTGGGAACCGTTCGGCTATAAACTAGATACGGCTTACAATTAATACAACCCATTCTCTCGCTTCTCGCAAACACAAGCACACACACACGTACACAGAGATCACATCCACCCACACGCGCACATTTCCGTGTCAAACATTTATTCATGTTAGTATGGAAAAGCGTGGAGTCTACTTCAAAACTTTTTCGAATGGACACACTAATATTTCGATATCGTAACAATAATTTTAAAATATTCTTCCAGGCTTGTAAATTTTTAGTAGTTCCAGGCTTTTTTCTCACAATGCTTTTAATCTGTCTAACTCACTATAAAAAGGGACATTATAATCATTGTGGTCTGTCGGAAAAGCATCGAGAATTGTTGCTTATCAGAGAAACTAGTACGACTTTATTATACACTCTGGAAAAATTGAATGCATTATATGTAAATACTGCATATAACAGAAATACTTAAATGACAGAAGAAATTGTTATATACGATGCATCTTCTGAACTAATATCATGAATTTTTTATTTCGTATAAAAGTTCGTAGTCTAGTCATCACTTTTTTGACAAACCATATAAGACGTACAATTACTCTGAATAACGAAATTCTTCTCCGAGTCTATCGCTTTGCTCTCGTTGAAGAAAAGAACGAGGTTCACCCGGAAACCGATCGCGGAATTTTCAGAAACCGGAGACCCTACATAACAACCACCACGGCGCCAGCAGCCAGCGATGACCAGGTCGACGAGGAACACAACGAGGAAAGCAACGCCGGCAAAAACGACGAACAAGATAGCAGCGGCATAGACGAGAACGCAACACCAGAAGAGGATAGTTCCGTCGACGATAAGTCACCTGAAGACCCGGTCGTCAGCAGGCTGATTACCACGGCCGTTCCCGCGTCTGATAACAAACAGTCAGCTGTAACACCGTCCGCGTCGTCTCCGGTGATCAACGAGGAACACGAGGAACAACAACCGACAGAGTTGGACAACAGCAGACCGGATCATCTTCCGGACATCACGAGCCTCTTCACCGACAGTCCCGCGCCCCAGGCGAGGAAGGACAACGTGTTCGAGGGTTTGCAAACCCGAGCAGTTCATCGTTCCTCCCTGCGCTCGGCATCGGACATGAAGGTCGAGCATCGAGAAACACCGGATTATTTCGAGGCTCGCGGTGAAACCGAATCGCCTAATAACGGACTTGAAGACGCTCACACGGTCGGTCCTTACGACACCCCTCAGGATTATTACGACCGTTTAGTGAACGATCAAGCGGAGACGGGCGAATCGTCTATGATGAAGGATCAGGACAACGACAGCAGCACGATCCTGCCAGAAGCGGAACCGGCCTACAGGTACAACATCAAAGTGCGCACCAACGGCAAAGTATTAGATCCTCCGTCCAAGTAACGCTTTAACTATTTACATTAGGCATCGTCGCGTTCTATACTATATATTTCGTTGATAGGCGAAGAGCGTGGGAGTTTCTCGAGGTACAGTCAGGTTGTACGGTGAATTGAATTTCGTCGTTCCAAAGGAGAGGATATTGAATTTCGTATGAAATCTGTCCGACTAATATTTTCTATTACCTTCTGTATATACACGTCCATTGTTTCGATGAGTTTTTGTACCTAATATTCTTGTAACGAGAAGCTTAGCATTAACGAAAGACGAGGAAACTTACCGTACAACCTGGCAAATATATTTTATGTTAATGTCACGTGTAATACCGCGAAAGCATCAAACGCGCAAGCGCGAGTAATTGTATTACAAGCTCGGGGATGGAGATATTTGTTTTAAATCCATCTTTCATTCATTCGTTCCAATTTCCATTTGAAATTCCCGAGCTAATGTTTGTCGGATTCCTTAACGATCGCCGGGGTTGTTCAGTCGTCGGAAAATATAATAGTAAATCAAGTGTGATCTAAGATTGGAAATATAGATTTGGAAACGATCGGAGAAGGTTCTTTTTCCGACGTCAATCTCCGACGATAGCCGACGTCGTTCTCGCAAGGGTATTCAACTGGATCATATTCGATTCGACCTCCTTAATCTCATCGGTGGCACCGGCGGACGCAATATCGCATCCACAATTTTTTTTTTCTTTATCTTTGTTTATCATTTAACACTATTTTTCTCTTGTAGATGCTAGATGACAATAACATATATACAAATGAGTATACATACACACGCACACAGATACACGAATGTGAGGACTCGTCTGCGTAGGATCTCAGGCATTATGCACGATAAACTATTACTTTATCTCATTAATTGTTTCTTGTTTATAAGGATAACATTTGAATCATCATCATCATCGTCATCGGTGTAGGGTTGGGAGTCCGCCAGTGCCACGAAACATTTCATGCATTATCGATGTAATAATCATCCGTAGTTAACGTAATTATCTCGCACGTACGTCCGCAAGATGAAACGTTTCGTAGCTCAATCGATTCGATCTCGATTCTTAATGCTGTCGATTCGAACACCTCACTCGATACAGTTCGATTACAATCAGAGAATTTAGGATAGTCGAACACTAAGTTGTCTGACGATGAAGATTACGTGAATCGCAACGTTTCGGTCATCCAGACGTACGACAATCGACATACGCGTATCACGAAATGATTATCTGATTGGTTGGTTGAAAATCATAGTGATGCAAGTCGAAGAAATTTAGTAGATCGATATCAAAGGTTGAAGCATTTGGAGGAATTGAACTGATGGATTGTTTCATTTAATTATGAAACTAAAACGATTAATGCATAACTATGATTATCAACCTTTCGATCGCCACGATAAATTCAACGACGATTCATGGATCATGAATATCATTTTACGTATCACAGCGTGAATGTGCAACTTGTGTAATTGAATATTAATAAATGTACGAAATAGAACTATGTAGATTTGTCACTTACCAACCATTAACGACACCCTCGATGTTCAGCATCGGTACGATCTTAAACACGTAATCGTCTCTCAAGCCCGCCACGTACGGATTATTGCCCAGCAACGCTTCCAAAGTACCATGCATCACCCAAGAAGCGTTACTTTCCCCCGGGTGAACCCTCGATGTCAGAAATATTACTTTGCGATTCTGTAAATTCAAAAAATAAATTAAAAATTACTTATTAGAGTTAAGCCTAGTTCAGATTTAAAGACAATTGTCTGTGGGTTTGTATATTGTTTTCAAGCACTTGTTGACTGTTCATTATCTTCGGAATAATGATGGAATACAAAATACGAATCCTCAGACAATTGCCTCCCAGTCTAGACGAGGCTTTACTCGAAGCTACGATCCAATTCCTCGGACATTCTTTTATGAAATTCACCTGGATAGGATTGCTCTTAGAGTCTAAAGACGTAATAGTCAATAAAGGATTCTCGTTTCCATTCAACGTCTCGCAGAGTGTTTCCGCCCTGAAATATGTGTTCGGAGGAACCTTTCTGTTCCATTTCCAGATGTTGGTCATTAGTTGGCTGTACGTGTACGGAAAATGATAAGCCAAGTAACAGACGTCGAAAGCGTGAGGGAAAGTGACTGTGAACGACGTCGTCAGATAATTTCTGCCTTTGGCTGGCCGCTGGTAACAATTTCGATAGTAGCAAATGTCGGCGCCGGTTCTAATCCAGCCGGATCTACCCTGTTGAGCTTCTATCACACTGAAGAGGATTGGCTTCATGCCGAAGTTGAACTGCGAATTCGCCTTCTCGCAGTTGATTATGTTGAACGTATATGGAAGATTCGCCTCCATGTTCGAAACCTCGAAGTAAAACCATTGGTGTCTCGATCCGCTGTTCACGTCCGGCGTCAGGATTAGGTCGTACTCTCTCAAGCCTATCTGCAAGCAGAAGCGGATTGAAAAGAAATGATGCAGACTTTACGCGACATCATGAAGCCACAATTTCATTTAGTAAGTGAAGAGTGAGAGTTTTTATAAAAATGATAAAAGCTTGAGTCTAACTACATACATATTTGTAATACTTTTCACTCAAAATATCCTTTCTCTTTTACCATGCAATTATCAAGCAACTAACTTTCTGTATTTTCTATGTATTTTGTAATAGTCGCACTTAAACAATTTGGCGCATCGTTTTTATCTATTCCCTATATTATTTACCAAAATATTCTCAGAGTTATACCTGAATGACTTTTCTCAGGTTCCCACTCTCGAACCTGGACTCGAAGTGGAGCTGTTTGCTGTCCGAATCACGTTTGCCTATCCTGTTTTCGTCCCAGTTGCATAGATGGTTGTCAATAGGAATTTGTTCTTCACCGATTATGGTTGACGCCACGGTGTCAAGATCGTACACTACCTCTTGCACCAGAGAACTACCGTGAAGACCCCGTTCCACGCACGTGAGGAGCTTCGATCGACAAATCTTTCTGTCCTTGTTATTCAGAGGTTCGTCCTTTCCGAGACCATCACCGCCGACTAGATCCGGGTAAGCGACCTTCACGAAACCAATCACGCTTTTCACCCGACTCGCGACTACGCAATAAGCCTGTTGATCGGTTAAATTCGAAGGCATGTCGTTGAAAATTTTGATCGCCGTGTTAACGTTCGACGCTTGATTCTTGCTCATTGCCTCCTTCGTCGGATCCTTTGAGAAAGTCTTTAGTTTCTTAATATCGATTTTTGTATGCCGCGAGTTCGACTTGTCATCATCCGTAAGGTCAGTCGAATCGTTTAGCTTCTCCATCGAAGATCTCGCGGCACAGACTTGAGCCTGCAGGTTGCCTAATTCTTTAAAGAACATGTTGTACCTAAAAAAATTATTTCTCATTATCCCAAAGTCTAAAAACTAATTTGGAGCTACTGAGAAGTTAAAAGAAAATTATAACACGTACTCGACGAGATCCATCTCGGACCTCTGAGACGTGAACACGCCAGCGAAAAACTTGCTTTCGTCCACCTCGTCCATACTTCTCACGTTCGTCCTTGAATTCTGGCTTTCTTCTTCATCTCCAGAATCAAGGTCGCTATATAGTCTTCCAAGAGAGGCCATGCTACAGGCCTGTGCATACAAACATAAAAATTAATTGCTCAATGCTTGACCTAAGAAACGTTTTCAAAAATGTTTCAGCACAATTAAGAAAATTTTATGATCCCATTGTATTATCGCATACTGACCTGACTATCTATATCGATATCACTGCCACTCTCAACACTGTTTGGCCTGACATTCACTTCAGGTAGTGCGAATCTGAAGAAAGAGATCAAGATTAACAACTAAAACTAGAGCTGTCCACTATGTTAAGGATGTATTGGCTGTACAGTCAATCCCAAAAGTTTATGTACCTTAGAAAAACGCATTTCCTATAATTAAAGAGAAATCAGACGTCGGAAGAACAATGCTAATAATAAATAGCTAAGTGCTCGAAAATTTTTTTTTGTTGTTTATTATTAGCAATTTTCTTCTGACGTCTGACTTCTTTTTAAAAAATGCGTTTCTAAAGTGCATAAACTTTTGGGATTGACTGCATAGCCAATACATCTTTAAAATGTGTAGGCAACGTGTTAGTTACGACATGACGACCTATACATCTTACATGTCATTGTCGTTTATGAATCTGTCAGAAAGATTTTCGAGTCATCCTTTTAACAACATGAATTAGGTGAAACCGTTAACCCAGATTGATGATAAACTACCGTTGCGAGGGACCGATTCGATCGATTAGTAGGTAGAGGAACCTTGATTGGTTTCGTTCACCTTGCCGGGGACATTTCGGGCACCGGCAGCTCCTTCTTCTCCAGACACTGATTGATTATACCGCATATCCGCGATAGTAACGAATCGTACGCCTTGTCCTCCGGGCAGTTGCTGCAAAACCGGTACAGTAGTTGCAACCCATTGTTCATCTTGATGGCTTTTCTCCCGGCTTCTGAAACAGGCAAAAAGGACAGCACCCCGTAATAGAGGTTGCAAAAACACCGGGGATGGATGTAATGTGCTCATAAATTTCCATAAATTTACGATTTTTGTTGTACAAGAAACTCCACTTTTCCAAATTAAGTAGAAAAATGCAAAATATTCGGATGAAGAAACAGTTGTACGGACTTTAAATATTATTCACTTGATGTTTGTGTTACGTTTGAATGACTGGTGTTTGGCTACGTAATGAGAAGACAAGATAGAGTGTTGTGTCTGTTCAGAAATATATGGACAGAACGAATCATTGATGCAGAAATGGTTCGTAACCATACGTTTTATGCCCTACAGAACATCAACTTCCGGCCGGATATTATCGTAATCTGGCGGAGAGCGGTAACACGAATAAACTCACTTATGACGCATAAGTGCTGCAGCGTGATCAGAGCGTAGTTGCTGATCTTCAATCTCATCGGCCCGTCGAAACGCTCCCATCTCTCAAAGATTCTCATCAGCAAATACAGCAGCCCGACCTTCACGAATTTCGTGCAAAACAGCTCTGCGAAAACAGGAATACGCAGACTGTAAGTTGATAATTGTTAAAGTTTTTGCTAATCGGTGTAGGTAACGATAAACGAATGCGGCATGTATTGTACATACTGCTTGTTGTAAAGTATTTGAAACACTCAAACAGCGATTTGAGTTTCAGCTGGGGCATGTAACCGATGGAGACGAACGTTTTCTCGAACGTACTGGCTATACCGTCCTTCACCAATATTTGAAGAGAGAACGCTGGAAACGATACGATTTAAATAATTATGACGCGAGACGCATCGAGGCACTGTTAGATGTGCTCACTGTTTCTCGCGAGACATTTGATGATAAGTAGCAAAGGCAACAGCGTCTTGCTGTTGGTACAATGTTGCTTCAAGAGCGTGTGGAACACTTTTACGGTGCTGAGCAACTTCATCTTTGACACGAACTTCTGGTCCCTCTGGGCTACCTACGATTTCATTCGTTCCCAATTAACTTCAATAGCTTTTTCATTCAACACCGTAAGATAGTAAAAGGTCGCGTTACCTGGCTCAAAAGCCAAAGCACCTCCTGCGTGAGGACTTCGCTCGATATAGTGTCCGCATGTTGTAGATTAACTAAAAGCTTAACTAGGACTTGCGTGATTCCTAAATTGATCAGCTGCATCACTGCCATTCGGCTGCTGGATTCTATATACACAGAATGATGGCCTAATTACCATTTCAATTAATCATGCATGCACATTGTCATTCGCTTTATGATCTGTTTCGAATTTTGAACCGTGTACGATATTAATTTGATGCTCAGAACGATTTGTACTCTGAAAACTAATAGTATAGGTCGGCAGTAACTCATCTAAATTACTGTAATCTGAAAATAATTGGATTTCATTACTTGTGGCACTTTTGTTCTTGTTCCCTTTGGTTTTCCCCTTTGCGGCACGTAGCGATATGCATTCATGTAGTATACTAGCTATACTGCAATTTATCACGTGATCTTTGCAGTTCTGCAACAAAACATTCATCGAAGTGAATTCTTCCACACGAATCGGTTAAAGGATCGAGAGGCATTCGATTAAAAGCCACGTGACTATAGGGCAATTGTTCCTGTGGTGCTGCGTGCGCGCGGCACTTAACAGAAAATGGAGCGAACGGACTTCTAATTTCGCATGCCACAGGAAACATCGTCGACAAGCCAAGACAGACAAAGGGGACCACGAATCAGTTGATGCGATCTAACCACGCCATTTCGTGCACAACGTTAATCGTGGCGTGGATATCCACGCCTTTTAATTCGATCCGCAAAGTGTCGATTAAGCGATGCCATGCCAAAACCACAAGCCGCGGCTCTCGAAAATCGCTAATTGCGGTACGAAGCAATCGTTAAACATCTTCCTCTTGCAATCACTGTTTTACGTACTCGCAGGAAGTTCGTTTAAAGAATGTAGAGAATTCCCTGTGTGACAGGGGATTGATTGGAATTCTACTTACCTCCAGCGTCGTGATAAATATTTCCATGGCTCCAGAACTTTTGCGCCATAATTTCTCCAACGTGCGCTCGCGTACTCGGCGGTCTGAAAAATATATATATTTTTCTCTCCTCTCATAATGCCACGAGCGTAATTAAAACTGGGTATTTTATAAAATGAGAATCGATCGTCAGGAGTTAATTATTAATTAGTTCCGCGTTAATCATTCCGATAATGGGCACGATGTAAATCTCGACCGAATCAATGTACCTCCACATTGCCAAACTCTATATTTCTCTGCCATAATGAATAATCGGTTAACAACGGCCTCCATGTAATAAACAAGCTACCGCTGGCATTGCATTGGCCAAACGTGTGGCTCCCATTTCAGACTTGATGCAAGGCCAATCTCAGCCAATGCCACGAACATGGTCCACAAAAAACTGGACAATGATATTTCATGCCAGGCGACTGACCAGAGGTAACGTTCAATTACTATCGCAGCATCTCCTTGAGGTAATTACCTCTTCACAAATCTTTAATGACTGTTATATATATACTGCTGCTTTATTTATAATCTACCATTATCCTATTATTTTATTTTTAAAACTTTTATTGTCGATGAATTTATTACACATTAACAGGCATACAGTATCATTTAACGAAAAATTATAGTTATTGACCTAAAACCTCGATTATGAGTGGTGTAATATGTGACATACCAACGAGTAAGTACGAGGTTTGGAAAAAAGGTCAATTGAACGTGAGCCAGCTGAGAGAACCTATACCAAATTGAGCGACGAAAAAGAAGCCCAATTCTCCCGTTTCATCTTACTTTCTCGTGATTAAAAAATGCTGCGATTCATTGCCTCGAAAGCTGTTCCATCATGACAGTGCAAGAAGAAGCATTGCATTGCTCTAACTTTTGACAATCTCATCAACGCTAGCCTAACTGACGACGACCCTACTTATAGATATTTTGGATCTATCTACGATCATTACTATAAAAAAAATAACATCTGAAGAATAGTTTCCTTTCTTTGATACGTTCTTCCCAAATAGATTCAATGTTAGTTTCAAGAGTCATTTATCTTTCAATTGTAATCAGTGCTAGTATTGTATGCAGAAGTATCGACCAATGGGATCAGAAGAGTTCTTATCAAATTGGCACGACCGCGATTTACTTCGAGGTGATCTATTGTATCGTTCGACTCCCTTGGACTCGGTCCAAATGATCTATCGCCGTTACCGAAAGCTGTTACGCAACAGCGGGCGACAGGCTTTTCGAAAATAACGAGTGACGGTCAGTACGTTTCACTACTGGCACACCTGTTTGTCAGAATCGTCGCGAACGATTGTTTTCGGTGGCAAAGCAAGGGTGAAATCATCGCAAAACAGGGCGATGTCGATCGCGTGTGATCGCGTAAACGCAAATAAAACTCGTCTAAATTCGTACACGAACGAAACGCAGCACAGCCGCGATCGTTTTGATAATTTCGCATGTATAGCGTGCATAGGAATGCGATCGCAAACGCGATTATCATTTATCCAGAATGAATCGCGGAAACGCCTCAGTTATGCGCTATAATTCATCTTTCATCCGTCACGATACTATCATAAGTAAATATATAGTCAGTTGGCCATTTCATGTTTTACAAGTTTCTTTACTTCTTCTTTTCTTACAAGTGAAGTGACCTGTTCGAAGATATAAAGCGTATTCGAAAGTGACCTGAATTAAAATTTTATTATTTCATAGACGAAAGCAGAATATTACGTTCCTCGTGCGCCTTCAATTTTATTTTTCTCTTTATTCTTACTACTAATTCTTCCGACACGAAAGTAAAACGCTTTCGTGCGAACGGGGAATTTAAGGGGGTGAGTTTCAGTTCGCAACGTAAAAACGAATTGGAAACGGGAATTCATGCAAAGGGACGTAAACGAGTGTCGAGTGTTACCGAGCGTAAGGGTGGCCACCCCTTTCCCGTGAGAACGGTTACGGGGTAATAAATCGTGCAAGTTTCTGGTGATTAGCCCAGCGAAATGGAAGGCAACGTTCACGGTAAAAATAGTAATTTAGCGGCACGAGGTGCCCGTCTGAAAGTGCCCAATCCGTTTCGGCCCGATTTAAATTTTAAAAGTTTCGGGACACGTTTCGCGTTTCCGCGAGGAATAATAAAAAAGAAGAGACGAAACTGGTTCTTAAACGAAGAAACGCAGTTGTTTCAAAACTACTCTATAACAGAAGTTTTATATTTATCAACAAAGATTACGGCGGGACACTACGTTTTGAAGGATTGACGTAATTTGCATCGAACTGAGTAAAAGAGATATATACAAGTAGACTACCTGAGGATGTGACGCGTGCATGAATCTTAGCTGCGATGTGCCTGAACGTATCGGCCTCCTGCGGCTTGGACACGCAACTTCGTAGCTTCTCCAACAACGCATCGTTTATCGTCTCGTCCGTGCTTTTGCTGCTCGGTGGCATCACACTGTAAACCGCAAAACACGACAATGATAGCCAAAGTACCTCGATTATGGCACCGAAGAAGTGGCGAGGGATGACATAGTCACGTTAGCGTGGAAAAAGTATCGCAACAATTCAAACGGCACGCTTTATATCTTGGCAAACAATGATTCGACCATGCAATCTCGAGCTAAAGGGCTATGCAAAACGAGCGGGCAAACGAAATAATGCAAAACGAATTGAACGTTGAAAAAATTGGAAAATTCGCATTGCTGTATTTAAATCTTAATTAGTGAGTTTCAAGAATATTGAACTTTGTTTTGTTTAAAGATTTGGTATGACTACGTACGCGGCAATACATACTTTGCGTAGTCGCCGTGTTCGTGTTACAAACATTCTCATACAGTTTAAGAAGGTGCAGATGAACGAAAAATAAATGTTTTTCTACATCCTACAAGCTATCAAATACATATACCATATTTCTGTTCTCTTTGGACTACTGGTGATAGATTTTATACATGATTAACTTCATTCACAATAAATATGTTGTTACAGTTTCAATTACTTGTCTCTTCAATCCATATAACTGTAGAGATTTTGTTTTATTACGTGCAGTCGACAGACAAGAAACTTCCATGTTTCGATTAGCACATAAAAAGAAATGCTGTACACCTCTTTCGACCGATGAAAGAGAACAAGAAAGAATTGATTCTGACATTGCTGTACTTAACTAAAAAGTGCGGGGCATCTCGTCCTATCGGTTGTCAACAATCTCCTTTGTGTGTCTGCGATACAAAAACAAGAATCACGGTTCTAGATAATTCGTAATCGAGGAGACAAACAAAGAGAGGCACGCGCGGCGTGGTGTAATTCGCGTTGCCATCAATCGACTGTCCATTGGCTTGCCGCCAATTTCCCAGAGTATAATGCGCATTAATCTCCTTTCACGATCAGCTGGTCGTGACGCGACGCTGCTGTTGGTAGCCAATGTCTCTCAGAAGTGAAAATCGAAGACGTCAGAAATCTGTCGCCTTCAGAATAATTCAAGGTCAATTAACGCGGTGCTCGAAAATAAACCGTGTGAAAATCACCTGGCATTGACAATTAACGGTAGTGACCAGTTAAAATTCTACATTTAAGTTCCGCGATATGTTTTCAACCACTGGAGACTACGCTTCACTCAATACATATTTGCAATAATTTCAGTGCCGTTTAAAAGTGAAAAGCATCGTGAAACATTCGTGGCTGTGCGAACATGATTATACTTTAACAACATCTAAAGCTAGAACAAAAGTGCGAATGATAGATAAATTGCTCCATCATCCGTACTTTCTTTTATGGCAACTATACGTCCGCGTCCGAGAAGCATGTTTCTGAGAGCGATTCAGAAAATTGATCAGTTCTAAATGTCGTCGACGATATTTGCAATACCGCAACTGCGTCGATGCTCATGCCAATTGTACAATAATTCTTATTTAAATCCAGCCAGGCACATACATTCTTTTTGACTAAGTAGCATATTGGAACTATTGAAGCTTGTCTAAACTTGCTTTCGGAACGAGAACCACTAAAAAGACACAGTAGCGACGAGCACACGCACGAAACGCTTTTGTTAGTTTGGTGGCGATTTTTACTCTTCGTCCTGGTCATCCTGCACAGATTGCACGACCTCTTCGCTCGCCTCCATCGGTCGCTGATTCTCCTTGTCGTCCTTTTCCAAAGCACTTTTCATTTCTTTCCAATTACGCGCTCCCTCAAATTTGAAAACGCCGCGCGTAATACTGACACGCTTCGTCGACTCGATTAATCCTTCGCTTCGAAACTTGAATACGTTTCAGACTCTCTTTGATGTTCTCGACGTATCTTTTTTTATTCCGTGATTGACGAACGAAGGCACGAACGGTGGTTTTTAATGTAACGTTCTTCCGTAGTCACATGTTATTCTCGGTGATTCCCGCACGATCTAGATCCAGATGAAGAGCACGGCCAGTAGCGTCTTCCCATGAATTTCGGCGAAACGGAAACGATCTACGCGCTTTGCCACACCGAGGCTGTTTGACGTTTCGCGCTGCCAAAACTATGTTTAAAAGCATAGCACGCACTCACAGAAGCGTGTCTCTATTTATAGTTGCGGCCGCTTCCCGAAAACCGAGAGCCCCATTCCTCATATTTGCAACCCTTCGCGATCGTAATCCTCGATCGATGTCAATTTTCGGAGCATCGCGAAACCCCCTCGCGTTGGCTTGAGAAAGAGGACACTGCACCATTGTGACTCATCTCGAAACGATCCTCAATGCTGCCTGATCAAGGTTCCAGCAAAAATTATGTCTCCTTATCTGTTTTTTTCACCCGCTCATTAAGATTCGATGATTCGCTTCACGTTCGCACTCGCGGTTAAAAATAAATATTTCCCCAACCATTTTGTTTGCGACTGCTTTTTAAAATATGCACATATAAGACTGTGAATATAAAGAATTTAAATTCTCCATGTTTTCCACTTATCCTTAAAAATTTATGATGCACTCATATTTCTACTGCGATGAAAAGCACCGGTTGATTGCGCAAACGACTTTCAGAATTTGTTTACGTGACATTGTAAATCATCTGAAAGTAGGAATTGTTTCGAAACGCATTTGTAAAGATTATTTGTTGAAATAATAGAGACAACGCGGCGGAATCTACTTGCCAAAAGATAGAAAACATCACGTTACGTGTGGAAAATTATATTAAGCTTAATTCAGCATGCGAGACGTTGAATTATGAAGATAATGTGAAGATTTCAAGCAACGATGCAATCAACACGTCGTTTAAGATACAAATGCAAGAAGAGATTTCCAAACGAAGATTGGGGACTCTTAAATAAATTTGGTACGAGTCAACACTGAAAATAATTATGATCAATGTACGCAAATCTTGGAGCTTCGTGAAAACGGTAATACGATGTCACAAACTCGAATTCAATTTCAGAACGTAAATTAAAGGTACCAATGTGAAATCGATGAAAGGTTGTTCTCAGAATCTTGTACCAATTATAAAAGGCGTAAAACATAAATTAGGAACGAATGAACCAGATGTTCGTGATCAGACAACCCACAAAGCCACTATCATAATCTCTGGAAAACGCGAACCAAGAGAAATCTTGGTAGAACACACCACTAATAATCCTCTATGAATCCTTTGAAAAACAAAAGTGACCGCGAACAGTGACCGTGCAACGACACCGCGGAGTTATTAATAGCGCTCGGATAATTCCATTGAACCCTCGGTCGTGACAAGAAAACTGTGGAAACCAAGGAAACCGCGACGCGAGAAAACGAGCTAAGTGTACGGTCGAACCTTCGGCAAGGAAAAACAGGCACGATTCGTCACGCGGTGATTCGTGTCGGCAATACGAGGACGCGCTACGCTCAGCCGCGTTTCAACCCCTTTCTTTGAGCACGATGCTGCGGGGTTCGAAACGGCTGGACGATCGTGATAGCTCGCGAACGAACGAACGAGCTCTGTCACGGAAGCTGAAGCCCAGGTGTATGCGGCACTTGTTGATAAAGTACGAAAGAGAGAGGATTGATTAGTAGCCGTGCGAACTTCCACGAGCTCAGTCGACGCCTCACGAGCTTTCCACCCTATCGATTTGGCAAAAAGGCGGTCGTGTTCAAAGCTGCTGGTCCACGGGCTGCGAGCTGCGTCGTCGTTCTTAACCAGCACGGCGAGAAAATTGCGGATTTCATGAATAATTTAAACTCTCGACTACATCTAAGATGTATATAAATTATACTTATACAATAATGATAACGCGAATAGTACACGCGTTTATAAAATAATTAACCAACGCTCTAGTAATATCGGAAACAAAACGTCCCTCTTCATCACTTCAGACTATATTTTCAGTTGCGTTTACAAAAATCTAAATAGATTAAAATATTAGGAGGACTTTAATAGAGAACTTATTTATCTGTGATTTCACTTTGTTCACCGTGATTCTTATTACACAAAGAAGCTTGTTATGTTATTGACAATTATTATTACCAATAAGACGAGTTTTATAAAATTGATTAAATTGAATTAAATTAAATAATGTTTTCTAATATTTATATTTATTATATATAAGTCGTAACCTATTCAACATCTAGCATATACGTACCTCGAGCCATCAGCTTGACATATGTCCATATCGTCTCTCCTCCCTTGATTGTCCACGATGCACTTCGCGCCTTTCAGCCTCACCGTCGGAAGTTGTCCTTTACATTTTCGACTAACCAACTTTGGTGTCCATCCATCAGGAGCCATAACAAGACACCGTGGGTCACGGCGAAATCAAGCACACCCGATACCACGGGTTCCGCCGACCGATCATGATGATTTTAATCAGATTAATTATTTATATGCCGACTCTACGATTTTCTCTCACAGCCAAAAATTAATCGATCGAGCCAGGTTACTTGTAAACTTTTTAAAGAAAATGTCAATGGCTCTGCTTTCGACAGTTGCACCTTGAAGTCAATCTCGAATTCCGTCGACGGAAAACTATCGTTCCCTCTCTCGCACCCTCCTCTTCTTTCTTCTAATAGCCTACACGTGATTCTCAAAATTGAATTTCTCTTAATCGTCGTCGATGGTCCATATCACGTTTAAAAATGCGTACCTACTGAATTTCGCGCAGTCATCGATTAAAATCGAAGGAACGGAACAATGAAGAGCGAGCTAGGCGGACGTCATTAAAAAAACAGATTCGAGTTTCAAAGCGATCGAAACCACGCCCTTCATTCATATTCTAAACAACAATTTACCAACCGGTTCGCATATTTATCTGTCCTTCCTCCGCGTCGTCTTGCCAAGTCATCCTACAATAAGATAAATATGGAACTAATAAATAAGGTCTAAAACACAGGAAATGTCCCTCTCCTCAAGCGCAATGATATTTCAATTTGTGGCCTTGTCATAGCTATAAACTCATAGAAATCATGTACGCCTCCTATCGAATCGTTTATCAGAAACGCTTCGTTGGACGTCTGCGTTTCTCAATGGGACGTCCAGTTAGAATTTATTGGGGGCAGTTAAAAATCGTAGCGGCATCAATGGTATTGATCCGATCGACGTGGATCTTCGATCGTATAAGCGTCGAAACGGACCCGGTCGTTATGAAGCGCTTGCGTAGTCAGAAATAAAAGAATCACGAACCAGGTATCCCGTTCATCGTGAACGAGACAGAAACGAAAGAACAGTTTCGTGCGTAAGAGCAAAAGAAAGAAAAACAATTCACGGTGATGATATTGTCCGACAGGGTGGGGGAGTTTGCTCTCCATGAAGAATATATAAAACGCGGGTAGGGCTTGAAATTCAGGTTAGTGCAAGATAGTTTCCGAGCCTGTCGCGAAGCTGTGGTCACGCCATGCAGGTGAGTTTATTCCTAATCCGATCTACCGTCAACTTCAACATGTTTTCCTTTCAAAGATCTTGGAAGACTTTCTTCTTATATTCATCGAACGAATAATGGTTTGGAATGCAAAGTTGAATTGACAGTAGTTCTGCAGTTCGTGCAATAAATATTGAAACTGGAGAACACTTTGGAACCGAACTGAAGGACCGGTTGTTTTTATAAATAATTCTCTAGACTGCGAATAACCGTTACCTCTCCCCCACGAAATCTTCGATCATTTCCGCGTTGCTCGTGAATCATTGCCATTGACATGCGAGCCACGATGTACGTAGTGTACACGCATCGAGCCAAACCTTCGTATCATCGAAATGCTTCTCTTTATTTAATGCGAAGACGCAGTCAACGATCAACCTTCGGTCGGCTATCGCATTGTTCCTCTTGGCCGATGAACTAAAATATTCTTCTGATCTCGAAAACAAAACATTTCGTTATATCCAAAAAACGAATGTTTCTTTTTTTTTTAAGGTCTACGTTACGCTGCTTGCCTTTGCTGTGATCCTGGTCGCGTCCATAGAATCGAAACCGATCTGGTCGAACCTGTACTTAGGCGCTTATCCTTCCGAGGCCATTAGTATACAGCCACAACTACTTCAACACTCTCCATACTACATTTACAATGTAAAGTGTTTTTAAAAAAAGACACAACACGGCTCTGTGTTCTTCTGCGCTCATTTACATTTAACATTCGAGGTTATTTTTGTTATTCAGGTACACGCAAACGTGAACGCTGTTCCCGCTGCTGTGATCGCGAACGGAAAACCTTCGATCCCTCATCTGCCTACTTATGGTTTCTACTATGGCAATCCGATATATGACTTTCGGTTCCCGTTGAGTCCGGTAGGTTACTGCATATTTCATTAGTCAAAAAATAAATTGTTGTTAGTTGGTGAGCGTTGAGTGCATGCATTTTGATGAATCTTCTACAGGTATATCCGATCCTAAAGCCCGGTCAACCAGGAGAACTGCCGAGACCGTCGACAGAACCGACGACCACAACGAGACCAGTCGAGAATAGCGAGGGTGGTATTGAAAAATTAGACACAAAGGTTGAACCGGACAAAGAGACAAGTAGACCAAACGAGAGCGAAGAGAACGATGACAGCGTTATCATTGAATCGATATAAACCGACCGCATTGTCTCATGCTCATACGAATTGATTTTGTCTGAATAAAATTATCCTTCCCATTTTTTGATACGTCTTTTTATTACTTCTGGTTCTGCCCCTGGTTAAGCTCCTTTCATTAAAATATATGATAATATTAATAGAAAAATTAACAACGTAAGAATTTGATTATTGTGTATAAAGATTCAATCCATCGACCCCATTAACTCTTGACGCCATAGATTATATAGACTACCATTCTCCATAAATAATCCGCGATAAATCAAATGAATACATTGCTATAATTAAGTACCATTTTTAAACAACCGTATAACGGAGCCTCTCAAGATAACGCGAGGTCAAAGATGCAGAAATCTTCAGATTGCTTCATTCGCTTTGCCAGTGCTCAAACGTTTCGCATCCATCGACAATGATCGCGAAAATCCTTTGGTTATTCGTTATTCTCGTGACACTTTGTGTGGTAATCGAAGCATCCGTGTTGAATGAATTAAAAATCAGACAAGACTATGAAAAGTTGAAGATCAGAAGACGCGTAAACCGAGAAACTGAAGATATAAAGGAGCCAGAGACTACAACTGAACAAACTCCAAAGCTACACAGAGTGACATTGACGCGAACACAACCGGTACGATTTCAACATTATCAGACAGAAGACGAAAACACAAAGCAACGCAATGTCAGAGACGTGAATGAGTACAAAACTACGAAGAATAATCAGAAGCAGTTAAAACTAAATCGAACCAACTACAAAAACCGAAAGACGAAGGATCGTTTGTACGAATCAAGCAATGGTAAATATGCGGAGAAAGAGAAATCCAGGAGTTGGGGTCATATCGATGGGACAAAGTATCGGATAAAGCGTAATGCTATATCTGAAAATTTAACGAACGAGAAGGCTGATTATTACGCGCAAAGGAAGGCGGTCATGGATCGATTTCACGCTCGACAGAAAGAAATAGCAGAGAAGTACGCGAAAAAAACAGCTACCACCACTCCGAGGTACATTAATGACTCCGGAATGACCACCGAATCTCCTACGGTGAGGAACGAGACGAATAATGTTGATGAGCAAAAAATTACAATCAATAATATCGATAATAATGCAACTGTCAACATTCTTAAATTCATTGAACACGGCGTGGATACGAAAAAGAATAAACATAATGCACCTTGGTTTAATACAAAAGAGACAAATAGTCTCAATATAGGAAAGAAAAAAAAAGATTACTACGATTCAAACGCGTATGGACAAAAATCTATAAAGAAGGCAAAACCAACGTTGAAAACTAATAATGACGTTCGACTGAAACAACTTGGATCTGCGGAACACGAAAATATGTACGAGCGCAATATAATTACAAGAGGTTCTTCAAATTCTGTTTCACCAAACGATAACAAAAACTTGTTGAATGTAAGTAATATCTATTTATGAAATTTGTATGCACCAATGTGTCTACAATCGTTGCACGTAAGACTGATAGAGTGCTGATTTACATAAAGATTGAACGTGTAAAAAATATAAAGGATGTATATAATGTATACGAATGTATGAAACGTCAAAAGCTGCATGCATATCATAATATTTATGTGATGACAGAAATTTCTATTTAATGTTATGTGTTTTCCTCAATCGATTTTTAGTTAAATAATGAAGTACATTTTTAGGTTTATAGCAAATCTGGTAAGTGCGGGAAATTAGTGTATCAGCATAATTTCATAATCGGCGTGCACAATTCATCGCAAGCTGATGCCGACATATTGACGTCGATAGAGGGGTCGTTCTGCATCACCTGTGTCGAAATAGAGCGGCGGAAGAAGACGAAGGCTACGATTGAATTGAACGCGACACGCAGAGAAGATGGCACTTTTAGCGAGATGAAGCTTCATATTAAAGGCTTTGAAAACGAAGAAATACTAATTGTCGTTAAGGTGTTTGCTGTCGAAAAAGTTGACGATCGATGCGACCACTATTATTAATAAAAGATAAACTTACTCTGAATTTTTTGTTATAAAGGGTGTAAAATTCACTACTCCGATTTAATGTATTCTGTATAATATTTTATGTAATAATTTTATATTCTTGTTTGTGAGAGATACAGATTTCAAATATACATGAAAGACATTCATCTCAAGGATATGGAATGAAAGCTATTTATTATAGCATGTTACGATAGAATTATATGATAGGTATACATATGTATACATATATGTTATATGATCAGAACAGAAAAATGATCTTAAAACATTTTTACAGTGTCAACTCATTAAGAGATGTACAGGATTTCTAGAAAATGATTTTAAAGCACGTAATTTATACCTAAGCCAATATTAAAGTCACTCCATGCACGTTCCATCGAAACACTAGAAAATGATCAGTCTGATAATCTTGTGAAGCATAATTAATTAAAAGTAAATCCTATCGAATTCGCTGAATTACTTCAGGAACTTTTCGGCACGGCTGTCGGAAGTGGAGGAGGCGGTACATCCGGTATTTTCTCTTTCCGCTCATTTGTAGTTAACTTTTTTTCCTCGTGGTATGCTGGAAGCAGATGCTCGGAGAGCCCGTTCTTCGGTGTGGACGCGGGAATCGGTTCGAGAGTCCCGTAGGGTTGATAATCCGCGTAGTACGTGCCCGGAACCAGCTGAGGATTCAATCCATTGTACGTGTAGAAATAAGGATCGTAGTACAACGATTGATAATTAGGATAGAAACTGAAAGGTTCCTGTTCCCTGGCCTTCGGCTTTGAACTGATGTCCTTCGGATCTGTGTTCGCCTCCACTTTAACGTCTTTGGCGTCCTCGACATTGGCTGGTTTCGATTGCTCGATAGTCGTAGCTGAGGCTTGGTTTTCAGGTTGATTCGGTTTTTGGGCTCCTTGAGAAAGGTACGGCACATCTGACTCGGCAAGGTGAGGTGCCACTTGTGTGTAATAAATCGGTGGCACGTAACCGACCGCTGTTCGATGGATCACAGGTTGAATGACCGGGTACGCTCTTGACGGAGAGAGATTTTGATTACTGGTAATCACCGCGTTATACACTTTAGGAACCCTAAGGAGTCCTGGGTCGGCCAAGGCCAGAGTTACTAACGCGAGGAAGATGAGGAGGTTCATCTGAAAATTAAACACGCTATGAAACATCAGAGAGGAACGAGTTTGATAGGCGGCGGATAGATCTAGGGTAGAGTTAAATTCCACAATTTTGTAACCGTGACGGTACGATTGAAGCGGATACAGAGCATCGCGTAAACTGTCATGTCACTGAGAAAATTATACAGTTCAAAGTCCCTCGTGCGGATACTACGGCCGATAAATCTACCACAAATACGCGTGTCGTGGAGGTGTACACGTGCACACCACCGCGTGATCCTAAACTGACAAGCTCGGAACAATTACATCTATCAATTTCTGATGTAACAACAATGCTATGCAGATATCTCATGTCGTGTTACAACATCGTAATATTTTCTTGCGGACGTAATAAACATTTTTTCTGCTTCTGTTTTTCGAAGAGGACACAAAAAAGTTGATAATTTCTAGAATTCATTCAGATTTCTGGGAAACAACGTGCATGAATCTGGCCACGTGTCAACCACACATTGTTTCTGGAAAAGTGAACTGTCACCGGTGGATAAGGATCTAGCTTAGCATGTGCTTGGTCGAGGCAGCGCATACAAAAGAGGTGAGGTGTGCGCGTGCACAGAATAGAATAGAACCTGGAACGTTTTTCTCATATGTACTTATTTGCGATCGAGTTGACAGGCCTATAAGATTCTTGAAGATCAAACAAATTTTTAACAATAATAACAGCTCTCTTTAGAAGAGCCTCTCTCTCTTATGTTTTATCAGATATTTGATAAAAGTACCTTTACAAACGTTATTAGTATACGTATATATCGTGTAATATAATTGAGAATCGTGAAGAGACGCATTACCCCGATGATTCATCTCGTTAACGTTACGCAAACTCCATTCATTTTTATTTGAAACAATGAAAAGTTTCTTAAGAGAATGTGACTCTTCAGATTCCTCATTGATGAATGATAATGAATGGTGTAAATTTAGATAAAGTAAGTGCCGGTGTCGATAGTACTTACCTTTTATTATCGCGTACTCTCTGTATATGAACAGTAAGGATCGTCGAGAAGCTGACACCAAGTAGCAAGAGAACTGCATGGGACCGTAGTATATATGGCCCATGGGGTCCCAGGGTTCAAGTCCTGCCTCCCCCACTACATACACCACCTGGCGAAAGTACTTCGCGATCGGTACTTACTTGAATTGAATGTTCTCAACATTAAGTCCGGCTGCGGCAGCCAGCGAAACGCAGGACACGTATTTACCGTGCAACTATGATGCACCATTGATAAATCTTCTCATTACGCATTCATTATACTTTAGATTTTTATTCAAATTGTTTCGATTTTTAAATTAAAATACGAAGATTGAAGTTTATTAAAAATTTGAGGATAAGAAAATGAATAACAAATAACGTTACGATTATTGTGTTTATTACTCTAAACAAGAGGTGCGTTTTCAACAGGTATCATGAGACGAAATAAATGAATGTTCTCATGCTAATTTACAAAAGTTTTAAGTATGCATATGCATCCTAAACGAGGCTCGTGAAACGGAATACAGTGTATTAAAATTAATGATAATAAAAGCACTGCAGATAATGTCCTTTCTTTGTACTACGAAAACGATTCTACAACAGCGAACGACAAAGGAATAATTAGTAGAAGGGTAATAAAACATCGAATGGAAGATCCATTATAATGGGGGTCCATTAATGTCTCCAGCCTGATTTACAACGTTGGTAAAGCTACAAATTATGTATAACATTTTTTTTTCAACAGACACGTGATAGTTGGAAATAACGTCACGAAATATCGCAAACTAAACGTCAATTGAAAGGTGTTGCAGAATGAGAAAAGGAAAAAATATGAACGACCTCGATCGCTATACGCGTAAATCACCGCGTGCTTGTTTAAAACGAAATATCAATTTGGAGGCACGTTCGTGTGTAACGCAAGGCTCGAATTGGCGCGCCGTCGAATTGACACATGCTAATCATCTAATTTCAAACCAACGAATGAAAAATCTATTCATTCTCAATCGGTTTGGAAAAAATCGGGTCACTAACAAGATCAATGGTGAACGTTCATTGACGCACGATGTTACGTAATTAATGCACGAAAAAATCGATACCGTTTAAGAAAATTCATGAGAGAGAATCCAGGTCGTATGTCTGTAGTTAATGTACAAAAATTGCTCAACAGGCACACGACACGAACCTGGGTAAACTAGCTCACTGACGCAACAGTCGTCGTCGCTACAGTTGACTTCGGATTCGTCGAGGACGAATCTCTCGAAATTCTCGCCGTTTTGTAAAACGTGCTCGCGTTGGTGTTACTACATACAAACACATATATATATCAGTTTTACATACGCTTCAGTTACATTCGTGTCTGACATTATCTTGGCAACGAAAGAATCGTGAACTAATTGAAAGATGGAATCGCGTGTTTAGAATTATTCCGCACAGTCTCGAATTACTATAATTTATTCACAAGTGCATAGAGTTAGTAGTATCTCCTTTCTGCAATTGATTTCTAATCATGTACAATAATTCGAAAATACATACTGATACTATGATTACATATGTATATGTAAAATTAGAATATATACGAAAACGAAAGCTAACAATAATAAAGAGCGTCCATCGACGTTAAATACACAAATTGCGATTAATTATAGTACAACCACGTCATAAATATTAACTTTACGAACAGTTTTCATTATTTTCAATGTTGTACACAAAATATAACGCAGTTATTGTAAACGCAAGTAATACAACAAGTACGTCTTGGAATTACCAGTCATTCAAGTCTCGCACATCATAATTGTAAACAAGTATTAGAGTGTTTTACGACCGTCTTCGACCCACAATATCGAATACCTGTCTGGAAACAGAGTCATAAACTTAAGCCTCTTACAATTACAGTAAAATCGTTAAAGGCTAAGGTAATTCTTCTTGTGATTTCAAGTTCGATATTGTTTTCTTTCAGTTTCTAACTACATCTCGAAGATTAACATATGATTCTATAGCATTATTACTACATTATCATACATGTCCTAACTTTGACGTAATGAGGCTTAGTTCAATAACGTACGATACTTAAAAAATCCTAATATCGTATCGCAGGTTCGTCATATAGATTCTATCGGGATGTAACACATCCTTCGGAGCAACAGTATTGGAAAATTCGGTAGGAACACAACGAAAAGCAGCACCAGGGGCGACAGCAGCAGCAGGACACTGGCGTACACCACCAACCACCATACGGTCGATATTCCAAGAACTGGATCCAGCATTGTGGCTCCTGATAAAGGCGCGTCAAGCATCCGACAATTTTGAAGCATCTGCACACCGTTCGAAGAATCCGGTTCCACGAGCACGATACGCGTTTTGAAACATGTTCGGCCGGTATTTCTTCACGTACAATTGATTAACTGAAGAATTCCTGAAATGAGAGAAACTGTAAATATATTCTTTGACCACCATCTTATTGTTAATTTTACGCAGTGTCTACATCTCCTCTGTCTTGATCCTTATGTAAAAACAATATTTAATTGCAATCTGAAAAGCAATAGTTCTTCCATGTATCGTTACTAGAAAATTAATACAAATTATCAAAGAAATTTTTCGAATCGAACGAAAAATGCTGCTAGATATTTCCAAATGTTGGAATTACTTCACTGCAAGTTACACAGATTGCGGAAAATACTTGAGGATGTCAAGTTAGACTCTTCCCTTGAATCTATGTCTTCCAGTGAAGAAATAATGACAAAAAGTATTCTTTATATATAAAGTCAATAAAGCGGATGCGTATCGAAGGCTAATCTGAATATTTTAATTCCTATAGGAATCGCAAAAATTAGTGTAGCTGAAGATTACGGTTGTTTACAATTCTTTAAATTTACTTTTTAAAAAACTACTTTGAAAATTCGTGAATCCTAACGATTCTAATACTCGAAGTACGCTATCATTTTTTGCACCAATTTCAAGGATACGCTTCTTAGCTCATTGCGTCACTATGTCAGTTCAGTTAGAAAGGTGACCCAGTCTTTCATGCGATATATGGGATAACGGTCGTGGGCTTGCGCAGTACAACATTTTGATCATATTTGAGATCTTTGCAAAAACTGTTCTTTTCGCAAAAGACAAATTTTAATCACGTAATTCTCGAGAATTGCGTGGAGAAATGTAACGGTAATAGAATCCGTGACTGCGCCTATTTTTCGTCAGAATTGCGCAATTGTAGTAGGTACATTTGTAATCATTGTGTAATCCAACTATTGTGACTGTATAATTTAGTGGTTCAGTGGTAATGGAGCAAGAAAGTGGAAACCGTTTCAGTTAAGAGACTCCAAGGCTGTTTCAAATTTCGAATTCTTATCAAGAACGAACATAGTACGACGCATAATACGTACGCCGATTTTCTAATAAAATTCTTAGCAGACATCAAAGGTTGAACATCTGTAAAGAGATTGTGCAAATTCAAGTCGAAAAAATTCTTTTTCGACACGAAGCAATTTTAAAAATTATCACGATCTCACAAAGAATATAGTATACATTGGCACGTTCGTCCTTGTACGGACCGAGTGCGTGTGTGTGACAGAGGGATACCGGTTGGTCAAGCCTGTTAAGGCAAAGAGCGAAAAAGCATCGAAAGGAAAAAGATAGGCGATTGGAATACACGTGTGTGTACATACATGTGCAATAAAAATCCACCGTAGCGATATCTAAAGGTAACGCGCGCTAGCTATCTTGTAAGACGCTGACTGGCTCGTGTGTTCGCGATCGCACCGCGGAAAGTGAAATTTTCGCGATTGCGTAATGCTGGCATAATAGTATTATCCGACGTAGATCGTAGACTACGCGGTTACGGAGTATAGCCATTAATGAAACCACGGCTAACCCGGTTGCAATGCTTTAACTTTAACTCTTCCATGATGTAATATGTCCACGCAATTATGTACATAATAATATTTGTTTATTCCACAAAATAAATAATAAAAAATAAATATAATTACTTTCCGTTATCTATATAATACATGAATATGTATGTTTTAACGTTCCCTTAATTGTAAAAGAACCCATCTTTTTAACTATGCAATGTCGTACTTAATGATCGAAGGGATTAAATATCCCTTAATAATACTTTTATGATTCGATTTGAGCCGTACGATGACCATCACTCTCGGTATACCATGAATTATTTTGATAGTTCCCAAGCAAAGATTAAAGACCAGTCCAAAGTGTTCAAGGTCTACCTTTACTTTATACACTACGATGTTGTAATCATGAATTATTTGCTACGTCAGTCAACTATGATTCGAACAATTTTCAGATCCTATTACGTACAACTTGTTAATGCATATTTAATATTGTTTGTCAACTGTCGATCGAACGAAGGATGATATAAAGCTGTTGTTAATATAATTGGAGCCTGTTTCTGGGTCAGAGGAAGAGAGTGGACAACACCGGTGAAGGACATCTACATTTTCGATCCCTCCTGCTATATCCAGGTGTCCTTGCCGTGTGAAAAAAAACACTAAGGGGTTCGTGCATTCTATAAAACACGTTTGCTCGTTTTACGGTCCCCGAAGCGCCTGCTGCGCTTTCTGCCACGAGCACAGCTGCGCACATAATGCATTTCCTATTGAATCCCTCGTTCCCTTTGTTATAAAATGAAAAATACGAGAAGAATTCCACGAGTAAAAATAGATTACACTCTGCATTTTTAATCTATTGAACGTCATGAAGATGACGAATAAACAATAATTTCATGCAAATTTCAATTCGTACTTTTTTATTTTCCTTCAACTTTTTTTACCAGACGAATATTTATATATTTTACTCTAGGGTTATAATAATTGGATGAACATTATCTTTTACATCATAATGTGTTGTGCGATGCAAGAAGTCACATTGGAATCATTGATAAAATTTTCATAAAATGATAGGATCCATAGACAGCGACTTGATCGTTCCCTACCTCTTTTCGTCAATCGGGCACGGTCCACATCACATCACAAAATAAATGATATCAATGGGAACACTAGTGTCCATTAGACTTTAGACTATTGGGCTACTTCACCGCGAATCTCGATCCCGATCGACTACCCGCGAGACGAGCGACCGAACGGGGCGGAGGATCGTTTCTCGCGTGCGTCCAGTCGCTTTCAGTGAACTGAGAGCACGTCAGACTTCCATGCTTCGATGTCCCAGGTACTTTCCCTTTCTTTCGGCGCTTTGAAACCGAGTTACATACTTCCATACATATACGCTAGTTAGGTTGAGTCACCTTTCGTCCATCCGACGAAGCGTTACCATTACCACTCCGCTCTAAACGACGATCATCGCTATGTCCGATGGCATTGACGGTGTGTGGCTCTCGAGCCACGACCTCGTCTACGGATACCGAAGGTGAAACGAGCATAGGAAATATTACGTCGGGTCAATGGATAAAAGATTAATGGCTCAGTCGGACGACCTCCAAATCTTGTTTTTTTTCTCATTTGCATTCCGACGAAACTATTTTTATCTTTAATCTATGACAATAGCTTGGTTGTGTTGTGCGATGCAAGAAGTCACATTGGAATCATTGATAAAATTTTCATAAAATGATAGGATCCATAAACAGCGACTTGATCGTTCCCTACCTCTTTTCGTCAATCGGGCACGGTCCACATCACATCACAAAATAAATGATATCAATGGGAACACTAGTGTCCATTAGACTTTAGACTATTGGGCTACTTCACCGCGAATCTCGATCCCGATCGACTACCCGCGAGACGAGCGACCGAACGGGGCGGAGGATCGTTTCTCGCGTGCGTCCAGTCGCTTTCAGTGAACTGAGAGCACGTCAGACTTCCATGCTTCGATGTCCCAGGTACTTTCCCTTTCTTTCGGCGCTTTGAAACCGAGTTACATACTTCCATACATATACGCTAGTTAGGTTGAGTCACCTTTCGTCCATCCGACGAAGCGTTACCATTACCACTCCGCTCTAAACGACGATCATCGCTATGTCCGATGGCATTGACGGTGTGTGGCTCTCGAGCCACGACCTCGTCTACGGATACCGAAGGTGAAACGAGCATAGGAAATATTACGTCGGGTCAATGGATAAAAGATTAATGGCTCAGTCGGACGACCTCCAAATCTTGTTTTTTTTCTCATTTGCATTCCGACGAAACTATTTTTATCTTTAATCTATGACAATAGCTTGGGTTCTCCAAGCTGGTTGCAATAATATAATTATTTGGTGAAAATTTTTTTATCTTTAGCCTCTCGGTGGACTTCTGTTTTATTTCGCATCGTCACTGTAGTGATTGGTAACTCGAAACAATGGAAATATAATATGGTATGAATAGAAATTTTGATATGAATATAACAAAGATTAGATCTATTTTTTAGATGAATTCTGCACCACTGGAAAACTGCGGTTAAGGGTAAATGAATATCTATTTTCAGATGTGCTGATCAAATTTTGGTAACACTTTTATAAATTTAAATACTTTAATAGTGGGATTATAAAGTAGGCACTGTTGGATTACACAAGGAGTGGAATAACTGAGTTATTCTAAGTTCCACTAGGTTGACTGTATTTCTGTTCCTGATGTGATCTTTAAGACGAAAAGAAGTATTCTCTATTAGCTCTATTCTTGATGAATAAGAAAAACTCCGGGAAAGTGGAAAGTAAGGGAGTGGGGATGATTATCAGTAAGGTCAAGGATGACTAAGGGATGAGATTACGGGTTAAAGAAGGGTGTGTGGTGAAAATATACAATATTATGTTATGATTTAGAATATACAATCGTGAATCTTATCCTATGTTTTAGAATGTACAAGAATTGAATTATATTTACTTATGAAAGTGAAGGGTGTTTAGACCTTGCCTATATCGCCACTCGTCCATACAAATTCTATTACTGCAAATGTAGACACGCTGGCGCCATTCATTATGATATCTTCGAAGCTTTAATCTTATAGTAATGTCAGAAGGTATTACTGTAATACTATTGTATCAGACTACGGTTAATCATCAATTTAGATGCATTATACCTGTTGGTAAAGAAAACTGTTTTTATATTTTCGGTTACTTTGTTTACTACTACTATTTTACTACATGTTATGTACAAAGAACTCTTTTCAGTTAACATTTATTTATTATATAAAAAAAAACTAATTGGATAACAAATCGGAATGGAGCTGAGCCGAACAAAATCCAACATTTCAACTCTTCAAATCATTCATACGAAAAAATGAGAAACGATACGTGCTCATGTGCGATTTGATACAACGTGGTTGCAATGTGATATAAAGTGATTTGTAGCTTTAAAGCATCTCTTTTATATAGTTAATGCGCACCAATCAAGAGCTAGCATTCGCTGTGCGCCATCTAATTGGTGCGCGGTTGGCATCTGTTGAACACGTGTCCTAGTCCTAGAGCTCAATGATTCCACTGGACGTTGATATCTTCGATTATAATAAATAATTATACAGGTGCAAATAATAATTTATACCTTTTTCTACGAACGTTTCATTACTTATGATTACTTTCTTTACTGTACTTGTACATATGTGTGCCTATTATTTCTTTGCAATTACATAGTAACGCCACGTAAACTGTTCATATCATTCATTCATCTTCTGAGAACTAAATAAAAGAATTCAGGAAAAGACAGGAAACTTGCCTATGCGAGATGAAACGTGTTTTTCCACGAAATGAAAAGTACTTTAAAATATACTAAACATGATTTTATGAGAACCTTCAAGAGATTTCGATTATATTATGTGAAGTCTCCACCAAATCATCAAGCTCATAAAATATTGTAAAACTTTTACGCAAACATTACCGTTTTGGAAGTTTACAGTAATACTACATACATATGTATGTATCCTGAATATAAGAAGTTCGAACAATTCTTTGGCAATCTTTGTTTAACTCTTAAGAGCATATACTAGATACCTGGTTGCATGACAAATAATTTCCTTATTTAGACCTTGCCGACCAATTTTTTCGATTTAGTTACTACAAGAAGTATTGAATATTTAGTCTGAAATCGTATCGAACTTGCTAGGAAATCATGATGTGCACATAATGTACAGGACGATAGTAAAATGCAGGATAGGTAAGAAATACAATACGGTTATTCGTATCTTGAGA